TAGTCCTAATCTTTATTGCAGATATATTTTCTTCACTCCACTTCTTAGCAAACAGAGCCTCGACTGTGACCTCTTTCACGGTTAACACACGACATTAGGACTGCGTGCGTAAGCTTTTCTGCAACAGACGGACTTTAAGTAAGCTAGCTGCGTTCACACAGGGTTGACTGCTCTGTTTATGTTTTGACGGCTCAGCTTCTTCTTCTTCTTCTTCTTTTTTTTTTTTTTTGGCAGTCTGTTTCCGGTGTCGTGCACGCTGCGTTTTTTTTTTTTGTTTTTTTTTTCACCTAAGGTTCACAAAGGACAGAAGGCCAAACAAAACTATATTGATTCATGTACAAAACATAAATAGATAGGAAATAACATAAAAAAAAAAAAAAAAGATTAAATTAATGTTTATAATGAGATGTATAAATTTGGTTTAAAGGTGCACTATGGAGTTTTGGTTGTGAAATGTGAAAGTTGGAGAAATTCACAGATTCTGTGGTATATTTTCATAACTCTATACACAAACTATCCTCAGATTAAAATTTGGTTCAGTCCCTGTAATGATGTTTGAAGATAAAATGCTATGTGAGAAGTTATGGTGGTTGGTCCACAACAGTGAAACCCTAACTCTCCTGGAAGCTTTTTAGGGACCCACTTTTTAAAATTATTTTTTATAAAGTTTGGGTATTTAGTTCAGAAAATACAAGCTAGAGTTGTTAAGTCTCCAACTTTCAAATTTCACTACCAAATTTACAGAGTGCACCTTTAAGTTAAATGTGTATCTATTGAATAACAACTGTAACTTGTTTCAAATAGGATAGGATAATACTTTATTGATCCCCAGAGGGGAAATTAGGGCGTTACAGCAGCACAGACAAGAAAGCTCAAAAATACACATTTAACAGAATAGATAAGATAAATAAAAATAAAAATAAAAATAAAAACAGGGGGTATATACAGTACAAAATGAATGATGAAGTTAACTGGGGGGAATTGAGAATTGAGGCAGTATTTGCAGAGAATGACAAGATAAAGTGATAAGTGATTAAAGTGACTTGGTATGATAAATATTAAACATCAATCAATCTTTATTGTAAAAAGCTCCTATAAAGACTTTGAATTTGCATCAACTGCTAGGACTCATAATATAATAATATCACTTACGTCTGTTTTCATTATTATAAATGTTGAAGTGAATCTTAGAGCTGCATGACTTTAACCTCCTTAGTTAACATAATCAGTCATCCCCATTTCAAGAACATTATAGTTACTGATCTTAATATTAGACTTATCAGTGACAGTCTATTATCATTCAGAGCTGTTATTGCTAATAATATAAATATACCTTTAGTATTATTACTGGCATTTTAGCTATACATGTATTTTACTCGTTATTGTTCTGTCTGTCTCTTTCTGAGTCTCCCTCTATCCCCTCAAAACTGCCACACAGTTTTGGCAGTGAGTGTGTTTCTCCTCGAGGTTTCTGCTTGTTAAAGGAGTTTTTACTGTTACTTTGCTAAATGTTGCTTTGTGCTCTACTCATGGTGGATTCATGTTGGGTCTTTATGAATAATATACCAAAGAGCAAGCTAGACCTGCTGTTTTTGTAAAGTGTCTTGAGATAACATTTGTTATAATTTGGCTCTATGAATTGATTTATTGATTGCTTGATTGATTTTTGGCACCACTTGTTGACCAACAGTGCCTCATATCTCTTTGCTGATCTTGTCCTGTACATGTCTAAGCTGTGTTTTCTGAACAAAAAGAAAGTCATTATGGTTTCTTTTAACAGTCAAACATTTCTCTTGTTGGAAATCTTTACCACTGAAAATATCAGTGCAGCCTGCAGTAACTCACTTCATCTGACACCTACTGGATGGCAGTGCTTACAAGCATTTAAAAATACAAGGCCTGTATAATCACTCTTGTTGCAGACGGTGTTATTTGCTTTTGAAGGTCACATAAAGAAATTAGTATTGATTTCAGCCTGTTTCATATAACCAGCTAAAAACTCATCACAGGAGCTTTTATTGATTCTTTTATTTTTTTATTTCTTCTTCTTCTAGGAGGCCTTTTCACCTTCTTCAAGACAGAGCTGCATGATCAGGTAATAAACGGTTTAAACCCGCATTAACAGATGTTGTAGCACAACACAGATTATCACCCATTCAAGGTGTTATGTTAGCACCTACTTACATAGGAAACCGTTATGGAGTGTGAAAATGTTTTTCATCATCTGACTGGTATGATCAAAAATGTTCTCACAATTTAGCTAAGGAAATATTTTTATACTCCACTATGTTCTCCAGCTAGACCCAAACTTTATCAAATAAATAAGAAAAAACGAAACTAAAATTAAATTATTATTATTAATAATAATAATAATAATAATAATAATAATAATAATAATGATAATAAAATAACCAGGAAAATAAATGTATTAATAATTATTTATAGAGGCTGCGTGGTGGTTAGCGTTGTTGCCTCAAAGCAAGGAGGTTCCTGGTTTGAATCCCGGCCGGACAGGTCCTCTCTGTGTGGAGTTTGCAGGTGCATGCGTGGGTTCTCTCCAGGTACTCCGGCTTCTTCCCACAGTCCAAAGACTTGACATGAGGTAAATTGGTGACTCTAAATCGCCCGTAGGTGTGAATGTGAGGGTGGCTGGTCTGCCCTCTATATATCTGCCCTTTGATTGGCTGGCCCAATGTAAGCTGGGCTCAGCTCCAACCCACCGCAACCCCGAACGGGAAAAGTGGTATATATAATGGATGGATCATTAATAGTAAAAAAAAAAAGAATGAATTAACTGAAAAATAAGTTGTAATCCTCCAAAATACACAAAATAAATGTGAAACTCATGATGATTGGTGGCTTCATGTTCTGGGATTTTATGATACAAGCAAAATTTTTCTGACAAAACATAGTCGCTTGATTTATTGTGACTATAAAAGAAAATATAATATTGAACATTAATAAGATCACCTTTTCATTTATTGTATTTATAACAGTGCACATTTATCAGCAGTACTCTTCAGTTTTCCTTATTAGTATTAACAAAATATGTCACAAATAATATATGGACAGAGGTATTTTTAATTGTAATTATCATTAGTTTGATTTATTTTTGATGTTAATTGGGCGTGTTTTATTGTAGCATAGTGATTATTGATGAATATAATCAAGAGAGAGAGAGTTTTGCTGCTCTCTCTCTGATAAGCTGAGGTTTCTGAGCCCGTTTAAAATGTAAGGAAACATCTGGCTCCATGACTCAGGGGGAAACGAGATGGGATCCCTCAGCTTCCTTCCTGTGTTTATGTCATGGGTTTAATGACAGAGATGTACAGTGAATCCCAAAGCAGGAGGTTTCCTTCTCTGCCTCGGTTTGAACCCTACAGAGATCACAGCTTTCCTGTACACACACACACACACACACACACTACACTCAGCTTGTGTAGACTTGTGGACAATGTGTTACATTCGATCTCTTTACTGAGCTTGTCCTGTATATGTTTACATTAAAAACAAAATTTTATCCAGATGTTTATTTAGCATTGCAATACACTTTACCCCCTATAAGCTTATTCTCAACTATACATACTGTATGAATATTGAGAACATTTTTATACGCTGCACATTTCTGTGACATATTTTAAACTACTCTCTGAATAAGGATGTACACTAATTTCTGCTAATGTTACTGTACATACCATAATAATTATCCTTTCACTCTCTCTTCATATATATACCAACTGTTTATCCTTTACACCATGACTCAAAATCTGCGACTGTACCAGTTTACTTCCTTATTTCACGCTCTCTTTGCACTTCTGGTGAGATGCTAAACTGCATTCTGTTGTTCAATTCTTGTACTTATGCAATGACTATAATGTTGAATCTAATCTCAAATTTAAACTTCCAAACATAACACCTTCTGTGAAATGATGGCCGTGGGAAATGTTAAAGGAGGCTGCTCTTTGCAGTGTGCTGTTAATCACTTTGTCAACAGTTTAAAGTATTGGACATTACTGTATGAAATAATCCATATTGTTAATTATGGTCCATAGTTTGCTTTTATTAGGTCATTTAGAGGCATCAGTGTTAAATTCAGTTAATTTCATAAGTAGTTAAAAACTCCTCACAGGAGCTTTAAAGTCACCTGTCAGCCATTCTTAATCCACATAAGGAATGTCAGCTGAGAGCGGAGAAGAAGGATTACTCTTTAGGCCTAATGTAAACGATTTAATGAACGAGAAACTTCAGGGAAATGACGAAGCAAAAATGTCAAAAACTTGCATCATAATTTATTGTATTTAAGTAGACTGAATTAAAAAAAGATAATAGTCAAATCTTCACTTACACTAAATATTACAGACTACACTTTTGTCAAATAGCTGATCTATTTTTTATTTTTTTCTACTGTGTTCACTTTTTGTCTGCAATCTTTGCTCTTTGCTGCTGTAACAATGTACATTTCCCCATTGTGGGATAAATAAAGGATTATCTTATCTTATCTGATCTGAGCTTTTCAAATTTCAGAGGTAAAAAAAGGTATTTATCTTTCTTATAATTTCATTTATTGTTTTTTTGTTTTGGATGAATATGGTCAGGCAGTCGTCCTTTTATTTTGTTTGAATGATCTCAGATTGAATGATGATATAATTCATCTTGGCAGCCCCTTGGTTAAAATATCATGAACATCCTTATAACTCTTTTTAGCCGCAGTTTTTGCCTCAACAACTATTAAAAAAACAACAACTCTAAATCAGGTTCATACTTACTTGCATAGGCCAAATAAATATTGCGTACATGTGAAACACCTGTCACAAATAGTGATTTTTTTTGCAGAGCTTTTTTACAAGAGAAGTGGAAACTGCTTTCAGATGTAATGACATATTAAGGTTATGTCTACGCCTGTATTAAGGACAGATTCCGTGAAAGTTATAAGACCACCTCCGTGGAAACACAACAGAGGAAGGAAGGGGAAGTTCGCTCATGCAGAGGGGGGTTTCACGCTGCGTGTCCCAGCTGTTCAGCCTTCAGTCACAACCTGCAGCAGCTCTGTCTGTCCTCCAGAGGCGATGCTGGAGTTTGGAGAGGCGAGCTGTCCGACCGCGCTAAACTCAGCTGTCATGCCGTGCACGGACTGAAAGATAGGAACCAAATCTTGAACATTTAGAACTGAACTGCTTCTCCTCGATAAGATGGAGCACTGGAGGCAGTGTGCGATGTGGCTGATCAGCTGCAACGTGCTGCCCGCGAACCACCGAGTGACTGCGGAAACGGCGCAAGTGTTCGACCTGGCGCAAACCTTGCGGGACGGGGTGCTGCTGTGCCAGCTGCTCAACAACCTAAAACCTCAAACCATCAACCTGAAGGAGATCAACCTCCGGCCTCAGATGTCACAGGTATAGATCCGTCTTTGCTTTCAGAGCAACTTGTTGTGGCTGTAATGTGTGCATATAGGAAAAATAAAGTAAACAGTGCATCATTTCAACAAAAGGTGAGGCCACTTAATGCAACACAATAAACCTAATCAAATGACATCCTAGTCAAATTAGTCCTTTTATAGTGGAAGAAAACACATCCTTGTCTCTTGTGCTTAAACACACAGACTTTTTGTAGGCATAAAGTTGAACTTCAGCTATGAATTTGCAGCTGTGCTCCCTGTTTGACTAAGAGATGCAGGTGATGTAATAACCTGGCTGCAAGCAATACTGCCTATAGGCTACAGTGATCTTATCCCAGAGTTCTAAAAAAGTGAAAGCAGAGAAGCATAGAAGGAGTGTTTCTCCTTCAAACTTGAGTCAGTAAATTGTCAGGGATTTGCAGCACAAGGCGAGCTTTTGACCACTCTTCATCCATCATGCATACCATTGCATTCAAGTCCAAAATTTGCTGAAGCAGAGCAATCCTCCTCCTTTTTCTCTCTTCTTCCCCCCTCGGACAAACTACTAAAAGTCGCTCTTTGGTCTGCCAGTTACCTCTGACAGACTCATTTCGTATGATCATCAAATGTGGACACGTCGTCACAGGTTCACTTCTTCTACACATGTTAATATATCCACTCTGGTTTACTTTGTACTGTTTTATATGTGTCTATATTTAAAAGTTAATATTCCCTAAGCAATTTAAAAGTCTTTCTGATTAACCGAGGGAGTGCTAAAGGTCCCTCAGCCTTTTTGAAACTCAAAGGAATGGACCTCTCTTTACCCATAATTCTCCCCTCTGCCACTGGAGAGGCCTGATAAAAATCCCGTCTTTGATCCACCCATTAGTCAGGGAACTTGTATTATGAGTGCAGCAGCTCGTGGACACACTGAGTATGAAGCCCTGTATAGCCTGTTAAGTTACTTTCTGACACTCCAAATCAAATGCTAAAAAGCCCTTAGATCTCTATTGTTAAGAAGAGCATCTAATTAGTGCTAACTTATAGGTGTAATTTTGACAGACTGTCTTCATTTATTTATAACAGTTTGTATTTTGTACTCGGTATATTTGATTGACTTAAATCCATATTTTAAGAGCTGGTGATGCCGCACTTCAGTCACATTTTAAATAACTTAAAGCTCCTGTGAAGAGTTTTAAGCCGGTTATGAAACAGACTGAAATCAATTTGGTTGCCTCTAAATCACCTACAAAAGCAAACAAGACCAAAGCAGACATTATTGATTATATCTAAATGGCCATTTTAAATGCTTGTAACCACTTGTGCTGGGTTTAGGTGTCAGACGAGGAAGTTACAGAACGCTGCTCAAACAGCCTTTGTTGACATTTCTGTTGGCAACAGTTCACTTTGAGTGATACTATCGACTGTTACAAGAAAGCAAGATGATCTTTGTTTTTTTTCCAGAAAACACTGACAAGATAAGCAAAGAGATAAGAGGTACTGCTTTGTCCACAGGGGGCGCCAAAATCAACAAAATGTGTCATTGCAGCTTTAAATTAACGTCTTGTCTCTCCTCTCAGTCAGAAATTATTAGAACTACTTGTGTTAAAATAAAATGCATGTGTGCTTCATGCTGTGGTTTTTTATATTAAAGAAGACAGAAATGTCAGTAAACTCAGTGTCCTTTAAAGTATGTTTTTTCTGGGTAGAGCCGCAGTGTACAGATCAACAACGGATGCGTTGGTTCAACAAAGCACAAAGCCTTCATCAGCGTACGCGTAGTGCTGCTGCTCTACCCAGACAATAAAGGACTTTGAGTGTGTTGACTTTTCTTTGTAGTCTTTTTAGGGCTATGCAACTGAAGTTTTATTAGATCGTGTTCCTTTTTGCGGTTTTTGAATGTTAACATTAAAGACCACAGCATTTCTTGGAATCCAACATTTTCAAAGTATGACTAATAGACTATACATCAATGGTATATATCAGACATATAAGAAGGCCGGATAAAGATCCAATCACCTGCAGTATGCCTGCAAGAAATGTGTAGATATTGGTGCATAAGGTTGGTTTATTATGACATATTAAGGTTTTCAAAAGTCTTGATACTTGATCCTTTTTTATACCATGTGTTTTATTTTGTTTATTTTAATGAAGGATGGTGTCAAAAAGTGAAGAAGCTTTTTAAAAAAAACTCAGATCTTCAATAATATTTTTAACCCAAAGAGAGAGAGAGAAATGTACTGAAACAGGTTTGGATATCTTTTGATTTTAAATAGTTACACATTGAGGTTTAACATTCTGGTATTGTGGCAACCATATTTGACATATTACAAACCAATGATGTGTAAATCTAAAGATTTCAGCTGTTTTTATTTGTGCATATGGAAAAGCCAGTTTTCAACCAGGCATCCATCCGTCTTACTAACTGAAGCGATGTGCACGCTCCCTGTCGCTGGAAGTCCAGCCATCTTTTATACAAGCAGTGAAAGCATGCTGAGGCCACAGTGTGCTGAACAATAGATAGCACTCGCCTGCAGCTGTAGGCCATCAGAGTATATGGAAGAGAGAGACATGTGTGTCAGTGGGCTCCAGATTTTAAATGGCCCTCTCATTGTGTCCATGCTGACCTAAAATCCGAGGAAATGGAAGCAAGTGCATGAAGGTAATGGAGTGGAGGACATCAGAGGCGGGTACTGGGAGGAAATGCACGTATAGATGATACTTTTTATAGACCTCGATGCAAATGCAAATATGGATTTTGACTGTAAGGATCATAAAAATAAATACTCAACAAAATTCATGCATTATTCTTTTAGAAAACGTGAGAGAACGACTAATTTCAAACTAAATCTTTCGTCAAAGTTGGACAAATCAGTGCATCACAACATTGATATAAATGGAGTCAGAAATTACAACAAAAGCTCTGTAGTAAGGCTTGCATCAAATCAACAGGAATGGGCTTATGAGCATCAAGCAACCCTGTATGATCTTCTTAACTGTCCATTCAAAGTTATTTTTAACATAATTTCTAAGAAAGACTTGCAGCACCTTGACTTTATTGTATCTGTTTATTCTTGATTGTATTGTAGATAATTTAAAGGAAGTAAATGTGCACCGCAGGGGCAATGACTGTAGTCAAGAGTACGAGGCTGGTGGGGGCGTTAAGCCATCATGTTCATGCACTTCCTCCACAGACAAACGAGGCCCCTGGGGCCAGCTGAGTGATTACAGGCGTCTCCATGATGAGCTGAGGTGATAAAAAGGAGCCTATCAGTTCTCAAGAATCTCTCCGCTGCTCTGTGTTTTTTACTGCAAATGATCACATACACAGTTCACAGTTGAGTCATCACGTACTTATATTGTGTGTTTTTTTGTTTATAGAGTACTAATTGTGAAGATGGATTTTTAGTGTAAATGGCCCACGCTTGACTCAAACCGAAACCTCCACCTGGATCTCGTAACCATAAGGACATTGTCTTTATAAAAAGGTTTTCTGGTCACTCAGTTTTGTCACTGAGACTTGATCCTAATAGGAAGTGACACCAAAAGAAGACAGGACATTTTCAGTTTGCGTTTTGCTGGGTGTGTTTGTAGTTTACCTTCACTTAAATAAAGGCGACTTAAAGTTCTTTACGCCTTCTTATAAAGTGCTAATTTATATTTATTAAGGTGAAAACATAATGAAGTGATGGTTTCAAATCAAAGCGTTAAGAGGATATTAACAGCATTCAACCACAATTTCACCTCACAGCTATAAATATGCTGTTGTTCTATGATCCAAAGACCTGCTGTCAACATATCAACTGATCATAGGGATACTTATTTTGTCAGAAAGTGCTTCCAACAACAAAAAGAGCTTATTCCCTGACACTGTTTCTGTCGAGGAATGTCAGTTCTGCATTGTTATCCTTGAATTTCTCAATGATATGCACTGAGTAATCTGAGACCAAGAACAGTCATAGTTGTGGATCAAATTAGTCGAACGCATCCCGTAATCAAGCATCTAGTTTAGGAGACAGCATTCAGTTGTTGTTTAAAAAAACAAAAAGGCATCACTTTGTCAGTAACAGCAAAGATATCCAGGTTCCTCCACTGAACAGAGCTTTTTATGGACTTTTTATTCTGATGTCTGAATGAAAAAGAACAACAATCTGAAAGTGCTGTTAGGAGACAAAGCATACAGAATTCACAAGCATCATACTTTTTCGCCCTCTGCAGTTCCTGTGCTTGAAGAACATCCGCACCTTCCTGACGTCTTGCTGTGACGTGTTCGGGATGAAGAAAAGTGACTTATTCGAAGCCTTTGATCTTTTTGACGTCCGTGACTTCGGAAAGGTAACACCCACATTCATCACTTTTTTTTTGTCAAAAACAATGAAACAGTCCTTTGTTTTTTAGAACGCTATTCTCCACCATGGTCACACTCCCCCCCTTCTCTGCTATTTTCTTCTTTTGCTTTTTCTTTTATCTCCCTTATTCTGTAGTTGGATTTATTAAGGATCTGGCACCTTTCTAGTTCAATCAATCAATCAATCAATCAATCAATCAATCAATCAATCAATCAATCAATCAATCAATCAATCAATCAATCAAGTAATCAATCAATCAATCAATCAATCAATCAATCAATCAATCAATTAATCAATAATCAATCAATCAATCAATCTATCTAGTTTGCCCAACAGCACATGAGTCTCACTTTTTCAATGCTATTCTTACACCAAGAAAATTGCATCATGCCTAAAAGAAAAAGTCAGCAAACAAAAATAAAAAGAATACCCTTTGTTTAACTTAAACTAAATCCTAGGTGTGCAGCCTTGATATATTTATGTGATTAAATTAATTAAATCAACAAAGTATGTAAATAACCATCATTTAGAAAAGAACTTGCTGAAATCATGTCAAATCTGCATTCAGATTTTATTCTGTGAAGAGTTTTAAGCCGGTTATGAAACAGACCGAAATCAATTTGGTTGCCTCCAAATGACCTACAAAAGCAAACAAGACCATAGCAGACATTATTGATTATTGATAAAAGAAAAAGTCAGCAAACAAAAACAAAAAGAATACCCTTTGTTTAACTTCATGCAGTAAACTAAATCCTAGGTGTGCAGCCTTGATATATTTATGTGATTATGTGATTAATTAAATCAACAAAGTATGTAACTCACCAGAAAAGTACAAAAATCATTCAGAATTTTTTCAGTTCTCTGTACTTTATGCATTGTGTAGACTGTAAAGGTAAGAAACAAGTACATGTAAACAAGAAATCATTAACGTATGCGAACTGCCATAACTTCATTATTGAATTTCACCTGTATTTGAACACAAAAACATCATCAGGCTGCGTGTCCAACATCCACATATTTACATACATACCTTGAATTTGCTTTTGAAGAAAACACTTACAAGAAGAAATGTAGAACCAGTCAGAGGTGGGATGTTCTGTCCTCTTGTGTAAGCATGGCGTGTGTGTGTGTGTGTGTGTGTGTGTGCATTCAATATTTGTCCACCCATCGCCTGTCCTTGCATTTTTCGGCGGCACTTTCAAAGGGATCGGTCGTCTGCTTTTCATTGCCACGTTATTGCGGGAGCTGGTTTAGTGTGTGTACACAGTGTTACCAGGTCAGTGGGTTTGTAGTGCGCTCCTCCATTTCTTCTCCACGCTATACTTGCCAGCAGCACAGGAGTGTGAGTTAACTCTGAAGAGAAGACGAAAGCGCTCTGAAGCACTCTGACTATCCTCTTTCTCACTTCTCCTTAGTTCAAGACGCTCTCTGCACAGCTCTACCTCAAAGCAGTTAAGACTTGTGAGAGCCTCTCTGGGTTTTTCCAAGGGGAAATCCTTTACTATTATTTCCTAAAAGGTTAAACCTTTAGAGGAATTTTCAAATACATTCATTCAAAAAGAGGGTTTTAATATTCTTTTTTTATCCAGGCCGCCAGTCTGCAGACAGATTTTTAATTTGTTTCTACATGTGATGAGATTTACTGTAAAAGACGAGAACAACGTTCTTTTGTTTTGGGGCGGCTGTGGCTCAAGTGGTAGAGTCGGTCGTCTCTCAAATGGAAGGCTGGGGGTTTGAGCCCCAGCTTAACTCTTGCAGCAACATGTCTGATGTGTCCTTGGGCAAGACACTTAACCCCAAATTACTCCTGCTGCTTCAGCAGAGGCGGCGTATGAATGTGTATGAATGGGATTATTACTTCTGATGGTCACTTTACAGAGCAGCCTCAGCCTCATTCACACACTGCCATCAGTGTGTGAATGTGTAGGTGTGACATGCGGTGTAAAAGTGTTTTGAGTAGTCAGAAGACTAGAAAAGCGCTAAACAAAGTCCATTTACCAAAATGAATGACCTGCGATCCTTTATGTAAGTCATTTTCTTTAAATAAATCTGACAGATTTTGTTTGTGTTTAAGATCATATAAACTGATGTAGTTTGAGTTCTCCAGATTCATAAGAAAAAAAAGTTCAATGCTCCTGAAAAAAGGGGCAAATGTGCTTAATTCTAGCAAATTGTAAGACATTGAATAGACCTCTATGCAGTGACAGTGATCATTGGTTCTCAACAAATGTGAGAGGTTGCATATGGAGCTTTGCGTGCAGTTTCCCCACACAGGCTCTCTTTTCTTTCACTTCAGTGTGTTGTGTTCTAAAGAAGCTTCCAGTTAATCTGGCAGCTGATAATCCCATAGGGGAGGTGCTGTCTGCAAATATGTACACTACATCCAGGCCGGGCTGCATAATCTCAGTCATGTTCAAGGGTTGTCCATCAAACAAACAAGCTTCCGGAGGGGGGGAAGAGATTGCACTGCATCATTAGTTATAAATACAGGCGTGTGCAGGTTCAGCCACTGGGCTGCTCTCAGGAAGGGTCACAAAGTCCAACAAGAAATATTCAATCTCTTCCTTATTTTCCAGAAAAAAACATCCACAAGAGAACATCTCAAATCTTAGCCAGTGTAATCCACTAGGGTTGAGTTGTGCCAACTCTGCCCGTTGACTGCGTATTAGTCCGCTGAATATCAAATGAGAGCTCTCTAACCTACATTCCTCCGCGAAGATACTACAGGCCTCACCCTGGGCAGCTGAGCTGTATGTATGATAGAGGCCAAGGGACCAGAGAGATGACAGGAGGAGGAAAGAAACGTGGTGGTTTTATTCTATGAGCATAAAATCATGCCCACTTGACTGTAAACAAATGTTTGCACACTTCATTTTAAGTGAAGAGAGGAGTGGTGGCTCTAATGCTAAAGGCATGGCTGGATTTATATTTTCTATTCGGGGGTCGAGGGTGGGATTATAATACAAGTTTTTGTGAGAGAAGATCAAACTAGAAGATCAAGCTTTTTTTTGTCTGTAGGGTAAATATCAAGCTGCAGCTAGAGGTTGATTAGCTTAGCATAGCATAAAAACTGGAAGCATGGGCAAACAGCTATAGCCTATCTCTCTGTGGTTTCCAACCTTTTTTCTCTGGAGCCCCCCCTCTTGTATCAGCTGAGACCCCCATGGGCCTACACACCAAAAATGTGATACATGTCTTTCAAAAATTAAAATAAATTGTAATAGTTTATATTGATAAAATCCTCTCAGAATATGCTGACACACTCGTTCTTACCGAAGGCCTTTGTATAATGTTCCCAGTAATGTTTTAATATGATTTTATTTAATATGTACAAATTTGATCTTGACAACCTTAGAGGAGACAGAGCTTCACCTCCTATCACCTTTATGTTGCTCTGGGGACATTTTGGAAAGAGGCCACACTCACCACAGTGGTCTGATTTCAGCTCAGGTTGTGGCATTGCTTCTGAAGTCACATGTGGCTGAAACTTAGTGTGACTTAGAGGAGACAGCCAAGTGTGAGAAAAAACATTTAAAACGGGCCAGCTTATCATCATCTTATTATTATGTTAAGATATTCGTACACTTTAACCCCTCTGTCTTAAATAATTCAGTTTTCATCCTGTCAACTAAATCTTCTTAAAAACAGCTGATTATTTCTGCTCATCATTGACTTTTATTAGTATTTAATCAGTTATGTTCACTGGAGTGAGGAAGTTCTTGCTTTTGCGAAAATACTTCAGAAATCGAACAATTCTTTGAATTTCCAAATACACAATGTTAATGATTCAAATATGATAAATATACATGAAATATCGTGAAGCTGATCAATTATTGAATTACATTTCCTTAAATCCAGCGACCTTTAATAGTGTTTTTCTTTAAGAGTGTCTTGTATTTCAATATTTGAGGAGCAAGTGCGCTCCCCCTGTTTAAGATATTGGGAAACCTTCACACTTTAAGAAAGGAGGTTATAAGCACATCATGTTGGTGCAGGGCAAAATCAGCAGACTGAGGAAATAAGATAAGCCTGCACACTTGCTCAAATGCCACAAAAAGTTTGAATTGATCACAACGTTTCCACCAGACGTCTTCTTCAGGTGATTCATTTTTCAAATCGTCGCACTTTGCAACCAACTTCTGGCTTTGCTACAAGAGGGGCATGTGTTCAGCTGCTGTAAATAACTCAAAGAGATTAAGGGACCACTCGACTCTACAAACACAACTCTTTTAAGTCACATGAACAACTTGGTTTGATCAGACAAAGCCACAGCACGCATTCACACAGGAAGAGGAGATACACTGCAGATAGATAGGCAGTTGCATCTAGCCCCATCTACTTTCTTTTTAACCATGCACCCAAATCATAATCATTATACTTAAGCATTTTAGGCTTTTTTAACCTCTCTAGAAGCTTCTTGAGAGCCAATGTAGAAATTATAAACATAAAAAGTCAATAAGATTGTTCTATGTCCTAAACTACTCTATGCATTTAAAAGCATTAAATCATTCAATTTACAAAATTAAATCTAATACACATGGGATAATCTTCTTTAGCATACATTTTATTCCCCACTTTTTCTGAAGACATTGAGCTGGCGTTATGCAAACATGAACTGTATTTCCCCTTCATATCCCCTATCATCTACTGACTGACTGCACTGTGTGAAATATCAGTGCATGTGTTTCCCCAAAGCAACCAGTAGAATTTAACAAAAACATTCCCCGTGGTTCATCTGTCTGCTCAGTAATGATGTCGTATCAGACTGGATCAAAATGATGTCCATTGTAAGTATTACTATAACACAGTCCAAATCAGTCCAGCTCTTTAGTGTCATTTGTGGTTACAGACACATAAATGCGCAACTAATGTAGGATTATCACACACAGGGGAAATCCTTGATTAAATCTAATGGTAAACAACCATGCATAAGCTTTTAAGTAGTTTATTCTCACATCAGAATTAAAATGTTTTTAATGACATTGCATGTGACTGGGAAAACATGACTTCAGTTATTAAAAAGGTGGGATATTTCCAGTTTGAAAAAGAAAGAAGCAGATGGAAGAGATTTAAGACATTTCTTTATTGCAGAGCAGATTGGACTTTCCTCACTTTCTTTTTCTGATTCTTTATCTGTCACACAAACAGCCTTGATGCAAAGGTGTCAGAGTCTGAGGTAACATGACCATTTCCTGCGACCAGTGTTTGTCTTTTTCTGTCGCGGTGTCTTTGTCACTCTGTCACACTTAACAGTCTTTCTTAACACAAGAAATAAGTTCGCTTAACTCAATCCTCAAATGAATTTGCCGAAATACATCCCTTTGAATTAGCATTTCATAAAACAATGATTAACTACTTCTTTATTTGAAGTGCTTCTGATTTAAAACTTTTGATTAGTAAATGAATACCATTTGTAACATTTACTAATTTCCTCTACACTGAGTTTAGTGAGTCAATAGATGGGAGTCTGTTAAATAACCTGTTTTCCTTTTAGCAAACAAGCTAACAAGCTTGCTTGAGAGAGTGTTTCTTCCTCCTGAATGAATTCATGAGGACACATTGCCCTATGATGGCATACACTTCACTGAGATTACACAGCATAAAACAAAGAAAACCAAGCAGTAGTTTGTCATTTGCCCTGATTTACACTTGAGAGCAATTAGCTTGCCAGGTACAAGCTAACAGTTGTCAGGACTCCAAAAACTCAAATCTTAGCTAGTGTATTGGTCTAACATCTACTAGCCAAAATATCTGGTTACACTTATTATACGCCACATTATCTGGACACATTAAGTCCAGATAAACACCTTATTTCAAAACATAAAGGCAAAAGATAAGGCCTGCGTTGCTTGTTACAAGTTAAAATATCTGACGATGCAGCAAGTAAAATGTACGTGTTGAATGTCTTGAAAGAGATGTCTTAGTCTAAATCAGTTGGTGCATCTCTTTTTGTTTCAATTGCTTAGAAAAGACAGGAGCTAGAGTAAAAATGTCCCGTTCTTTTTCGCTGATTGGCAACTTAGGCAAAATATTCCGTGACAAAAGTTTCAACTACCATGGCAAATACTCTTTGGTACTTGAGTCTCAATTCAGGAAAGGAAGTTTTTGTTTTTGTACCAGCTAGCTTGATGCTAAATAGTTGCCAAGGTGTTACAACTGCTTACTATGTAGTTACTAGTTGGTTAATATGTCATTGCTATATTTTGTGTGTATTGTGAGTTTTTGCATGTTCTTGGCCTATAGGAGGTGTCAAAAGTTGGTTACCTAATAAAAGCCAAGTTGTCGCTTGTTAGTTGCTAAATCTTAAGCTGTTGAGGTAGAATGGTTGCGGCTGTATCTTTTAAGTTGCAAGTTATCGCTTCATTGGACATCTTATTCATAAAGACTCTGCATTGGATATCACTAAATTTGAGTTTAATCAGATTAAATGACTTAAATAATTTTTATTACATAAGGCAGCCATATGTTTAACATTCGGACACTGCAGTGCCTTCTCTAGTCCAAGTGGTAGTAAGATATGTTACTTAGAGCTAAGAAAAAAAAGTTCCCCTGTTGAAATGAGGGCTGGAGTGTTCAAATGATCACTATTTATAGAGTAATTTCTACAACAGTTCAGATATTTGATTTTACCTTTATTCTACCAGGAAAAAAATATTCTCATTGAGATACAAGATCTCTTTTTCTCGAGAGTCCAGGCCAAGACAGCAGCATCAAAGATTCAGACAGAGAACAGAAAACAGGCAATAAACAAATATTACATCAATCAACAAATCAGTAGCGTTCAGCAGACAAACATGTGCATACAGTCGTCAAATGATCCTTTATCCTGCTTTTAAAATGATATAACTTGAGCACAGAATTAGCATAAAATATCTATTTGCTCTCTTACTATATTTACCCCTCTCTTCTTCCCCTTTTCATTCTTTGTCTTTGATTCTGATTTTGAAAACATGAATAAACACTTTTTAAATGTTTTCTTTTTTACCAGGTTATGGACACCCTATCTAAGCTGTCATACACATTAATTGCACAGCAAGGAGGATTCAAGTAAGTTACTCAGCATTAAAAACACTAACAAAATGTGTGTTATTTTATAGACTCACTCGCATATTTAGAAAATGTGCCCATAGAAACCTCCCTCTTCAGCTCCACCTTCACCTCTTCACCCCTTACTGGCACTACAACCACATAACCACAATGCTCAGTAATTCTGTCTTTTACTCTTTTTATATATGCGTCTTTAATACCAGAAATTAAAACAAAGAAAAACCATTTACAACAGGGAAAAACACATGATATGAACACAATGATGAATAATTAATAATGTTGTTTATCAGTTATTGTTATAGTTTCAGCTATTACATGTTTGTACCATATGTTATTTCCCCTGATGTGTTGCATATTTATTTTATTTTTGAAAGTTTGACTGTTTTTATTTCATCCTCTTGATTTTTCAGATTTTAAATTTAATAAAATAAGGCTCCTGAACCCAATTTGTACTTTTTTAAAGACCCACTGATAAATCGAGACATTTTCAAACACTAGATTTTTATGCCATCCCTTAGCACATTTAACTTTTATGGATATTTAAATATAATTCAAGACATCAAAAGTTACTATGTGTTTCTTTCTGCAACTCACGCTGCTTTTCTGTCATTTCCAGGCCGTTCCCGACTGAGGAAAGCCTAAAAGACGAGGACATTTACAATAATCTGGAAGACTTGATTGAGTATGTATGAGGCTCCTCTCTGCGGGGCCATTACTGGTGTTGATAGAACATGATTATTTCTGCTCATCATCCCTGCTCTCCAGGGGTCTAACACCCACGTGTTTTGGTAAAAGGCTTGGCTCTGTTTCTCTCTCTGACTGTCGGAGGGAACTTATGAGTAATTCTGCATATTTTTGCTGAGTGCTTGCAAACCGCCCACATCAAGACTCTGGATGGGTGCTGTTGACAGCTTGATAGGTAGATAAAAAGAAATCAGTGTCTAGAACAGATATCAAATTTGAATTTATTTCATGTCACATTACAGTTTCAGGAAATGCTGTCTATAAATTGTCTGTTTGATATTACTTTCCAGTACTTGCAGCGATTAGAAATTCATGATATGTTGATAAGTTTGAGAAAAACAAGCCACCTAAGTCCTGATTCTCCATGTATTGTCAATTACTCTATCAATTTGAATGACAAAGACAATTATACTCTGTGCAGAAAGTATGTTGCCTTTTGTTTATATCTGAATATTTCTTGCAATTCAACATTGCATTTGACATATAGTTACATTCATACCATATCATTTTTTTCACTAATAGCTAGAAGTAACTTTTTGCTGATATTCAAAACATTTCAAAGATACTAATGTGTGTGCCTGTGATCGTTTGTGTGATAGTGAAAATGCCCTGGAGGACGAGGATGACTTGTACGCAGCTGTTTACGGGGTAGAGGAAGACTATGCAGGTGGAGAAATCTATGAAGACCTCATGAGGACTGGGCAGCATCCCTCTTTGGTACAGCATTAAGTACCCCACACACACACACACGCACACACATGCAGTGCACTCACATCTAGGCAGATTAAAATACTCTTTTGCTACATTTTCAAATTGGTATTTTTGAATTAGTACATTTATTGGATAAAACCTGCTACTGAAACTTATTATGAGGAAATCTTTAAATTCTTAAGCCCTTTTCACACATGCACTCGGAAAATATTCCACAAAATTTCAGGACAGCCTGCCCCTGAAATTTTCCTTTGTTGCTCTTTCACACATTTCATTCACAGCAAAAGATTTCTTCTTTCAGATTGTAGGGGAGGGTGTAAGGATGCAAGACATGACGTAAAAAGGCTGCTGTGGACGTTCGTATTGCGTTACGCCATAACCAAGGTGCTGGATGAAGCAGCAGAGTCCGATGTTATGACAGTTTAACTAATGAGAGAGAAAGAAAAAACTAGCAAGCAGAAAAGAGTATAAAGCAGCTTCATTATGTGCACAATCGCGCCTGTCAGGCAGCAGCCATCTGATATATTCATCATCATCCATCCTACTTGTTTGCAATTTTATTTAATAAACTAAAACCACGTTACGTTCCAAAGATTTTTGGTTATTTAACAACACTGTCATGCACTGGGGGTACCACAGGGATCTATCTTTGGCCCATTGTTATTTACAATTTTGCCTTTGCTGTTACCTGTCTATAGTGATTTAAGTATATGCTGATGGTGTAGTAATGTAAGAACTTAAAGCTTGTCCATAATTGCAAGATTTTCTAAGTTGTGTGTCTCTCTAGAAGCAGGCAGAGGTAGATGTCCGAAGCTGCTGCCTTTCAGAAATCAAACAAACAGAGGAGAAATACACAGAGACTCTGGAGTCCATAGAGAAGGTACTAAATCTCCTTTAGTCTGCTCTACACTGAGATCATGCACTGATGGGTTGGGTTTTTAAGATGTAAAATAGTTATATCATTTGACCTTAGTGTAGCATTTTTACATTTGTTCACACTGACCACAACATTGATGGTGATGCTTGATCCGACATTGATAGCGGGACTGAGTGATACCACACGCTAATTTCTTACTACAGAAGATTTTGAGCTTCAAATGAAACATCAGTAAATAAATCTGTAATGCACATGACAAAGTGCTTTGGGAATTTACAGTCACAAATCTCCCAAGGGGATTTCTATCGTCTTCTTATCTAATATCTAATGTGATGTCTGTTATTATTTAGCCACTCAGCTGTTGCAGTCTTGTCACAGATTAAATTACCATAACGATTATTCCTAGTTGAATTTAAGTTAAGTAGTTTAATTTACATAAGGAACCAAATGTTTCAACTGGGTTTTAATTTTTTAATTTATCTAATTATTCTATTTTTCTGTAGTATTTCCTGAATCCTCTGAAGAGATTTTTCTCTGCAGCTGAAATCGACAGAGTCTTTGTCAACATCCCAGTAAGTTCCTCCAGTTTTCTTTCATTTTGTATGACATTAGCAAAAATATGTTGAACTCTAAATTTTGATGTTTTCCCTTTTTAAAAAAAACAAAAAAAAAACAGGACCTGGTTAAAGTTCACAAGAGCCTCATGGTTGACGTTCAGGACTCCATCTTAAACAAAAATGCCTTAAATCTCCACCAAATTTTCATCAGCTACAAAGACAGGTATTCATAAACGCTTATCACGGACACTTTCTCTTACACTAAAGGGAAAGTACAAGAGCACATTTTGATGTTTTCTTTTGTTTGTGCAGTTATGTCTCAGTAGTTTCCCTAACTAGTACCGAAAGTTTCAATTTAAGTTTCAGTATGTTCTCTTCTGTACCTTACAGTTTGCCATCAGTGGAATAAAAATATGACTACATTGTCTTACAATGTAGCCAACACATACTTGTAGCAATTAGCATCTAGATGTTGCTTTTGTTATGAAGGCTTTGATTTTATGAAGCCGGTTCTAATTTTCTATACATTTCAGGATCAAACTGAAAGTGTACTGAAAAACTGAGTGAATATGATTGACAGCTGCTTTTTAAAATAGTTTCTGTCCATATCATAGGAAGGATTTCCTTTTTGGTAATATCATGATGTAGTTTAGATAACTGTAGTACAACAGATTCTGTCTCAAAAGATCTCTTGTTACAATCTCTACCATGAGACACATGATAGTCATCACTATATCTTGCCCATAACACACACACACTCACGCACGCACACGCATGCACACACACACACACACGCACACGCACATACACACAAAGAGTGTACAGAGTTCTTTTGTCTTAACTGTCATTCCTCTGAATTGTAGACTGCTCATTTATGGGATATACTGCAGCCAGGTGGAGCTCGCCATCGCTGTTTTAGACATCATTTGCAAAGAGAAAGAGGATGTTCGACTAAAGCTGGAGGTGAGACACCTGAAGAAGAGATCTATAGTCATAGCAGCCTCTAGTGTTTATTTTGTGCATTACAAATACTAAAAAACACCTGTATGAAGAAAAAAACATTTTGCACCAGTGAAAAAATTTAAAATATTAAATTAAATTAAACAGATAAATAAAGACCATTACATTGATGATTTTATGCTTTAGACAGAGAACAGCAAATCAGCGATAGAATAGAAGATAATTGAGTGCCTTTATTTTCATTGCACATTTTACAATGAAAATAAAAATAAACTATTTTTATCATTTTATCATTGTTCCATAATAGTCATACACATTTATAGATAAGAGTGATAGAGAAAACTAGTTTTTAGGAAAAGATGCAGTTCACGTAGTTCAGTCTTAAGTGCTGTGGGACCTCTGAGTGTTTTTGAATCTTACAAGGATATTATTGCACATTAAATTGTAATACACTGTAATTAGTGCACATGAAATGTTATTGCACTATGATTATTATTGCACATTAAATATCATGCACCTTAAATTATCCGTACATGAAATGTTAGTGCAACATGAGTTATATTGCATGAATACAACTCACCACGAGTAATCTTGCACATTAAATGTCATCTGTGTAATGATGCGTTTCAGCTCATGCAGTTATAAATATGTGATTTGGTGTTTGTTTAAGGAGTGCTCAAAGAGAGCCAACAATGGGAAGTTTACACTGAGAGACCTGCTGGTTGTTCCAATGCAACGAGTGCTGAAGTACCATCTACTTCTACAGGTAGGGAAGGTTTAACTCCAGCTTATTTAAAATCAAGGATTTACAGATTTAAAGTACAGTATCCTGGAACATCTGGTGCTTACTCCTTTTCTCCAGGACAACATAAAAGCAGCATTGGCCAATTTTGATTGACTCTTGCATAATTGTCTAAAACACCATTTATACCAAATATATTTGATTTTGAAAGTCCAACACTTAAACAGTTTGACCAATGGCATTGATTCAACTTAAGTGACAGTTTTCTTTTCTTCCAGTATAAAAGCAGCCACCTGAGGGCGACATTCCCCACACTTTAGCTTCATGTTTTCTTCTCCATTTAAATTGTCACCGCACATTCACATGTCACAAAACAACATCTATTTCAACAAGCAGTTCAGGTCTCACGTTAAGTCATATCATATCTCACATTTCCTGAAGAAAATACATAAAAAAAATGGATTAAATAATTTCAATTCTTGCTGTTACTATATGTTGTCATTTTAACAGAATTTCTGGAATTTTTCTCATATAAGACACTTTTAAGTGGAAGATGTTTAATTTCTTGAGTGAATGTCACCTGATTGCAAAAACAGATTTTAAGCAAAATGATCATCACATCACTGAATCGATTTTTGAATACAATAGCAGGTTTTATACTTACACATCTCATGCAGTGTGGCTGCACTCTCACCAGACATGCTCCCTCTTTCACTGCTCACTGTGTGACACCTTCTCCCCTGGTTAGTATGAATGAAAGGGTCAGACTATAGCTGGCAGGGCAGGCGGGCACAATGACTAGACAGCTGTTTTAGATTGCTGTAGAGGGTTAAGGTCTCAATGGTAAAAGGTGGTGATCCCCGGTGTTCTCAGCAGCCCCCTGAGGAGACACTTTGAGACGGGGGTAAAAAAGGAAGAAAGGGGAGAGAAACTTATGAACAGGAATGAAGTAAAAGTACATACAGCTAAGGTGGAGAGCAGCGCTGCAGATAAATGGTTAATGTCTTAATTTTGTAATGATATCTAAAAGGTAATGAAAGGTTAAAGCTCCCGTGAGGAATTTTCATTTTGTGCAGATTTTGGCGCTGCACTGTAGGACAAAGCGGTACATAATAACTCTTTGGTGATTTTGTGTGTGTTTTTATTATGAAAAATATCTCCCTGCTTTCTTTTAACAGTCAGATGTGATCTTTGCAGCAGACATGGTAAAGAAAGGCGGTTTCTGTAGGAGGAAAAGTAACTCAGTCTGGACTAGTACAGGGATATTTGTCTTACTTGATGTTTAACTTGTTTTTCGACGTCAATGCAGCCAAAGTCTTCCACAGGAGACCCGGGGAATTTTTCATTGATTCTCAGCGTAGAAAACTTACTGTGAATGTTGATGATAGATTTTGAACTGTGTAGTGTGTTGGCAAAATTATATCTGGAAAAAAAAAAACATTATCAAACAACACTTTTCTGTCCTCAATATCTTTATGTTTTTACTACTTTCTTGTCATTATAATAACTGTTATAAAACAGAGACTGAACACAAAAGTCAAATCATTAACTATGAATGACAGCTTTTCATATATTATTGCATATTAACTATTAACAATTAACTGTAAGTATTACGATGAGTCAGCTGTGAGTTATTCTGTGTTAGCTTGAGTGTTACTTTTCTGTTTGAATACAGTCCATCAAGTCTTTCTGTCATCCTCTTACAGGAGTTAGTCAAACACACTCACGATGCTGCTGACAAAACCAACTTGAAGATTGCTCTTGATGCCATGAAAGTAAGTGCAGTGCTTACCGCGAAAGGTGATACTAGCTTTTTCGCAAAAGTAAGCTAATTTAGCCGTTTGAGTCTAAACAGTGTCTGCCACCTAAATATGGAGGAATTTGTAAAACAAATAGGTTGTAAATCGTTTCTGTTTTTTTTGATAATTTTTTTATATTTATATAATCACACTACGGAGTAATTTAGCCTACGCTTCTGAGGGGAGCTATAAAACTCTAGTTTTAAGGACTTAGCAGCAAAAGCTAAAGTGCTAGACTTAAGACAGCTTGTAACGTTCATACTTATAACAGTCTTTCCAAGAGTTACATCTGAAGACCATTGCTCTTTTCCAATCTTTATGGCCATATAAAGTTACAGACAGCAGCCTATTAAGTTAGCTTAGCATACAAACTGAGAAAGGTAACAGCCAGCTTGTTTTTCCCCCAAAAGGAATCTTTTTTTTAGTTTTTAGGGAACTAACTAACAGGTTAAACCAGAGCTTGGCTAGCTGTTTCACTTTCTTTCAAGTCCTCATGCTAAAATAAGCTAAGCTACGGCAGCCTGGTTATCTGCTAGTGTTAGAGTCATTTTGAAATATCAATTATGACAGCTGTATCGCTCCTTTTATTTAACTGTTAGCATGAATTTGAGAAAAGGGTATTTTAATTGTAGCATAAGAGTGTACAAACCTAAAATGAGCAGTACAAAATATCACTCAAGTTAAAAAAAATTCTTTGGGGTTTTATAAATGAAATTTGCCTGACTTTCCGACTCACTACCTCAAGACACAAGTAGCCCAATAAAAATCTGTGTATTTGTGTGTCTGTCTAACCCAGGACCTGGCTCAGTACGTCAACGAGGTGAAGAGAGATAATGAGACGCTAAGGGAGATCGACCAGTACCAGAGGTCTATTGAAAACCTGGTAAACTAAAACATGTTTTTTTCCCCCCCAAAGCTGTCAGAGTGCACAAATATCAGGACAACATGTAGTTTCTTTTTTGTAGAAGGTCAGATTTTAAGTTAAAGTTTCAGCCAACAAGGTCAGTCTCATGAATAGTCTGAGGGTATCAGCTAGTAAACATCTGTTCTTCCTTTGGACTTATAAGGTTAATTCAGTGATGCAGAAAAGCATACTGTTAATGCTGGAGCACAACATGGACATATCTGTAACTCTTTTTCTTTTTTAGATACTTATTTTAATTAACAGAACTTTAGTTTTGGGTTCAGTAAAAATAATAAGACATGGCAGGAAAGGCAAGTTTATTTATAAAGCAGAAAGCACTTTACATAGATCGTTGTATCAAAAGTATTCAATAGCAAAAAGTTTGACTACCTCATGACTTTCAACGACATCTTATTTTACTTCCAGAATCAGCCTCTGATCACCTTTGGACGGCCGAAAGGAGACGGAGAAGTGCGCATGGTTTCCAGTGTTGACAAGAGGAAACAGGACAGGTTGTGCTCTTTCAAGAAATAAGAATTGCAAAGAGGAAAAGCAGGCAATTAAATATCTGATGAAGATCGCTCCACTGAAACATAGCTGTGCAAGACATTAGCCTTAACTATAAATCCCTACAGTGTGTGATCACTCGAGGAATCACTCGCAGAACCTTTGCAGCTGTTATGGAGGAGTGCAAATATATTGTTTTTAGATTAAATACAGTAAAAAAAAAACCTGTTTTTACAGCATGAAAGCAGAATAAAGCAAACAACAAATCACTTTCAAATCACGGCTGTCGAACAAATATACAGATAAGAAGAGAACTTTCTCAGAGAGACAGACAGAAATGCTCAGACTCACATAAACTCCTTGAACTGACCTGAATGAATACTTTTCAGTATGAAGATGCGAGAATATAACATCCTGTCATCTCTCTTTACAGACATATCTTTTTATTTGATGTTGCTGTCATCGTCTGCAAGAGACGAGGAGACAACTATGAGATGAAGGACATACTCGACCTCAACTACTTCAAGATCACCAACAACCCCACATCAGACAGAGAGTGCAAAAAGGTCAGTCGGTCTGCTGATGGATAATCAGAACGGTTTATTAGTACCTGTGCACTCAGCATTGCATCAGATATTGGATCTCTGTATCTACCTCACATGCTGTGATATGTATATTATCATTTTCACAGTGCAGACCAATAAACTTTTACTGCTGTTTGTTGCTTTTCAGCGCCTGATTCGCTGCAGATTTTATTGCTTACATAAATGTCAGCTGCCTAATAAGAGCAATCTAAAATCATATTTATTTTGTAATAAGCTTCTTGGTGTTTTCTCCCTGATTTAGAAATGTTGCAAGGCTTCCCCTTTTCAGTCACCCTCCACAGTTTAAACATGTTATTTTTGTGCCTTGTGGGAATGTTTGCAAGGCGTACTGTAGTGGAGGGGACTTGTTGATGTCTTGTTGATGTATGCTCACAGATGGTGTCTTCTCACTCCGATGCTGATTGCTAATGTAAAACTGACAGCTTGCCAGAATGGAAGGGTTGTGTGTGTTTTCTTCTCCTTCAAAGGGACTCCATTATCAAGCTCATTTACTCGACTGTGGATGTGTTTGTGCCGTGGTGTTGATTTGGAGAATGTATGATTTTGATTGGTGTCTTTTGCTTGGTGCTAACATCAAATCTTGTACTAAACATTTAATGACACAATTATGCAATTTATAAAAACATACCATTTACCTACATCCACCTTAACACTCACACACATACACACACAGGTGGGACAGAGATGCTAATACCAGGTGATGAATGTGTGCAGTCCTCCAAGGCTGCTTATAGCCATATATCATTTTCTGCTAAATGAAACTTCAGAGTGTGAATGTGGTGCCACTGAGCACCCACACAGTCATCAATGATTTAACACTCAGCAGAGCTCTAAAACACTCAGGACTTTGCAAGGCTGGCCAATCACTGATGGGTAAACCCTACAAGTTTTTTTAAGATCAGACACAACAAGCTGGAACAGATTAGGGTGGCCAAAGCAAAGCAGAGAGGTTTGGGAATTGATGGAAAATTGTTCCCCCAAAATGCACATTTAACCTCCGACGGGCTGCAGTGGTGGAAGAGATGAGACAACGCGTCATGAAAAGAAGACAATAATTCGATTTTAAACAAACTATATTCTAAAATAATTATACTGAGCATTGTTTCTGAACAAGAACATCAACAACAATCAATACATAGATCTATTGCTATTTTCTGGACAAATATTCTATTGAGCTAGGTTAATGATATTTCTGGAGCTCATTAAAAGCTGTTTCTTCCATATAATTAATCATCTGCTGGTGTAATTAGAAAGCTAGCATATAGGACAACAACCAGGAACCGAAAAAATTAAATGTTGTAATTGAGATGAAAACAAAAACCCTTATGTGTTCAAGCTAAAAGTAATATGATTGTCTTGTCTAGATTTAACATGAAGCTAACAGCTAAATCTGCCTACCTGCACCCCTACGGCTTACTAATTTCAAACTATGGTATTAACCTTGTAATGGCTTAGGCTATAAAGAAACCAAAAGCATCTTTTTTCAAAATGTTTGACTACCCCTCTAAAATTAGGCTTAAGATTGAGACAAAAGAAATCATCTTCCATGCTTTCCAAATGTGTAAAAACCTACAGATTGCACATATTTACAAGCTGAAACTGAAAAGTAACCATTACCATGACCTGTTGTGTTAACTCACTCTTTGGTATTTTCAGTTTTTACACATCATGTAACCTCGAAGAACACACACTGTTTGCACTTAAATCTGCACAAATACACCACCACAACCATTGGCATCATAAATTACCTTTTCAGTGACACAAATAGAAGAGACAGTTAATCTTACTTACCCTGGCATCCAGCGTTGAGAGTGTGTACATTGTGAGAGATAATCACAACAGTTGTCGTTTCACCATCTTAGTTTTCCCTTCTGTATACATAGATATTGAAATGCAGAAGACTTGGATTTAATTTGATTGGTGTCTTCTTCTCGACCTCCACAGTGGTGCTACGGGTTCTACGTGACACACCAGCAGGGGCACACAGGTTTTGAGCTCTTCTTTAAGACCAGAGAGCTGAAGAAGAAGTGGCTGGATCAGTTTGAAATGGCCATGTAAGCACAGACACACACGCACAACACAGTGTTGATAATCATTGCAGAAGACCAATGTGTGTATCATTGTACAAAACAAACTGTGTACTTTATGTTTGCATGTGTGTGTGTGTGTGTGTGTGTGTGTGTGTGTGTGTGTGTGTGTGTGTGTGTGTGTGTGTGTGTGGTGTTTATTTGTCATTGTTTGTGTGCGTGTTATTCCAAGGCCGAGAGAGGTGTTGACTCTTTCATGAGCACTGTTTGATCAGGCCTTTGCCGTAATCAAGCACATGCTGCTGACAACAGTACGATAACACACACACACACGCACACACACACACACACACACACACACACACACACACACACACACACACACACACACACACACACACACAAACACAAACAGAGATACACACCCACACAAACATAAACTGTGCCAAAGAGCTGCAACACTACAAAGAAGCGTCTCTGCCTCTGTGCTTTCTTCAAATCAGTGCTTTATGGAGGTATACCTTTTTGTATTATTTTGTAACAGTGGGAGGTTTTTCTCCTCCAGATATCCCGTCTGCATCCTTTGTTATGCTGATTTGGGAGAATACAGTGTTGTTTTGACATAACACTCTGATTGACTGAGCAAATGCTTTTTTGTTTTTGTTTGGGTGGATACGTATGAAACATCCCTGATCTGCATGCTGACTACCTGATGTGGCCTTCCTGAATACATTTCCTCCTCTCACACTGTGCTGGATTGCGCTGTAGAAAAAAAACCCCAATGTGCTGTATTGACATGTCTTGAACAACAACAACAAAAGAAAAGAATGAGTTAAATAAACCTCCATGACAGCCAGGCCCTTGAAACCCATCCAAAACCCTCAAGTGTAATTTCCAAATTTAAAGAAGAAACATCCGTTTTCACACCCTGCTTTGAAAGTGTTTTTCCTCCCAACAGGTAAAAGGTTTGCGTCCAAAAACAGCGCCGTGTGCCTCTGTGCATTGAGTAATGACACCAGAAGGGGCCCATTCAGAAAGTGAAAATTGTACCTGTAAAGAGGATGTGGGCTCCTGATGAAGGACTCACTTATGGGAGCACTCACTTAAAGTGGCTTCTGGATGGCGTGTTCAATACAAAAAATGTGCTTTCCTGTCTCACTTTGTTAGTTCATGTTACAGAGAGGCAGCTTATTTTTCTGCTGTGCATGTTGTCTCTCTCATGTTTGAACACATGCGGCTTCAGTTTTCATTTGTTTGGGTTGGATGCAAGTCATTTTCACGTTCACGTACATCCAGGGAAAATGATTTCATTACAGCGAGTTAAACAAATGAATTGTTTGTTTTTCTCACAACAAAGTTATTTTCTTCTTTTGATACATACAAAAAATGGTTGTTCCCACTGCAGAGAACAACACAACTTTTGTGACACACACAAGATATTTCCACTGAAATATCTAAGAATATTGTATCTGATGCCATCAGATGGTGTAGAGGCACTCACAGTCTCCAGAGGATGAAGCTTAATCACTTAGGTAAGACTTTGACTTTTACTGTAGCGCCACCAGCAGGTCAGAAGCTTCTCAAATTCCTCTTATCTTGACTAATATCTCAACATCTACACAACGGATCAGGAAACAATCTTATGGAGACATTCATGGCTACCAGGTGATGAAACCTTTCAACTTCGGCAGGGACTTTAAAATGTTTGATTACTGTGTGAGGACTTAAAAAGAAGTTATGTCATACATCACTATTTAAAATATCTTCAAAAGAAAATGTACCACAGAGAAAAGCAAAGAAAGCTACTATCTGTCTGTTGCAACGTAGTTTTTTTACATAACAAGGCCAACCCTGGCCACTCCATGGATCCACCCTTGAACCTGGTTGATCCCCTGACATATCCCTCGGTGCCACCATGACATTGGCATTTGTAGCTTTGTGTAGAAATTTCTGAAATGTCTTTAAAAAGATTGCACATTCAACTTTTGCACTCACCTTTGAATGCCCCTCAGGGTCACTTCCATTTACTATTTTGTCTCAGTGCTTTTAATCTGCTGGCATAATCAGCTGTGTTGGGTGCTTCATAGCAAAGTTCACTGGCAAGGACCACGCCACAACAACATCCGTTTAAACATTTAATATAGGTGTAGGTGAGAGATGGCCATCGTCTTTTAAGGCTCGTCTGGGAGGCTGATTGGAGATCAGGCGAAAGGGAGACTCAGAGTGGGGGTTCCGTCTCTGGCATTAATCTACCCGAACTGATTACGGCCCAGACTGTACCTGAAATGAGAGAGACGTGGGAGAGGCGTGTGCTGAGTTGAATAGGAAGGGATGAGGAAGGAGGGAAGGGAGGATGGGTTGAAGGAACTGAGACAAACAGAGTGTGGTGAGGTGACACGGTGTAAGTAGGCTTGTCAAGTAATTGGAGGTGTGGTTTTAGGCATTAACTCCATGAAGCATGCTGACAAGCTCTTTATGAGGGTTTAGGCTCTTCTGGCATGCCAGAGTCACCCACTTCAAAGTGATTTTGAGGCCATCATTTCAGGGCATAGGTGTGGAAGGCTGAAAGGCTCTAAATCTTTTTTTATCCAAAGTACTATTCATGTGCTAAATGCAAATTAGCACACAGGTTGCTTTTCTTTTGCTACTATTGTGCATTGTCACACTTCCATATTGCACGTTTGCATATTTACACTCTGAGTAATTGAAATTTTTGTACGAGTTCAGATTTTAACGTTAATGTTGTTATTTTTTGTCATTTGTTGTGTCTTATTTTGAAGGATGAAACTAAGTTGGTGTGATTTCACTCTTTAAGGTGTCCTTGTGTTTTGTGTGTTGTGAGCTCCTGCTGCAAAACGTATTCCCCATTGTGGACCGATAAAGATAATCTTCATCTGACTCTGAATGAAGCTAAACAAAGAATATGACATTGTAAACATGAGGCAGGCTCAACATTAGCATGTTAGCACTGTCACTGTAACCATGCTGACGTTGACACATAACTGAAAGCACTGCTGTGGCTAAATAAAGCACCATGGACGCACCAGCACAGAGATACGGTAGAGGATGGCTCTTATTTAAAACAAATCATTTTGTGTTTCTATTCTCTGCCTCAGATCAAATATCCGTCCGGAGAAAGCCGACCACAACTCCCACCAGTTCAAGATGCACACCTTTGAAAGGATCACGTCCTGTAGTTACTGCCACCTCTTACTCAGGTAATACTCAGGCATTATGAATACACTCTTTCATTAGATAATAATGTTAATAATCTGATAAAGACCCAATAGAGTAAAAAAGTGCCCTTTTCACATTGTGCTTATAATTAGGGCTTTCACACTTGCAGAAAACTCCTGAAAAACTCCTGAAAAACTCCTGAAATTTCCAGGAGGAGCTGTATGTGTGAACGCAGTTTCTCCTGCCAGACCCCTAGTTTTTTCTCCGCAGCAAGTCCGAGTGAGCTGATGTGAGAACGCAGCAGAATATAATTGGAGAATTCACCTCGAGCCAATGGGAGGTGATTGCCTGACTCATTGTTTGACAGGGATAGTCTCTCGCTGTGAAGGGTATATGTAAACAGCCAGGTCAGGAGAATATCCAGAGCATTCCTCCTGGGGCTCAGTTGGTAGAGTCATCGTCGGGAAAGTGTGACATGCGGTGTAAAAGCGCTTTGAGTAGTCAGTAACAAGACTAGAAAAGTGCTATACAAGCTCAAGTCAGTTTACCATTTATCTAGATATTTTCAGGAGAACATATGAGAAAACAACTAATGTTCCTGCCCCACTAGCTAACTGTTAATGTATATATTATATATAGCCTGCTGTGTGCACACATCGGCTAACCCCACCTTCCTCCAGCATGTTATTAGGAGGCTGGCTCAAAAAGTCCAGACAAAATCAGGGTGGAAAGTGAGTGCAGAGCATGTGTGAAAGTGTTTTTCAGCACTCAACCTCAAATCTGGGAAAGGGTTACCACAAACTCTAAGTACACACATTCATCTAGGAGGGAAAATCGTCATGTGTTACTGCAATGATGGGTTTTTTCTGTTCTTATGAAAAGACACTTTCAATCCCTCTCATATTCCAGGCATGACAGGAACATCATGACATTTCATATTTTGGTTTCAGTCAGTTTTTCTCAGACCTATAATTCTGTTTTTGACTAAAATGTGAATGTCTCTTTAAGACTGCGTTTAATTGCAGTAGACATGGTTCATACATTGTTGACTGTCTCAGTTTCCAACAGACAACATCAGTTTTATGCTTAAGAAAAGCTGAAGGACGTTTCTCAGGTCGTTTTCTTATCTTGAGACTTGAACAGAAGTGTGAAAAACTCAAAATGTCAGGGAATTTCTCATAATGGAGGCTGTTCTATATGCAATACATCCTGTGGTTTATTGTGTCCAGGGGCATCTTTAACCAGGGTTATCTCTGTCTGAAATGCGGGCTGGGGGCTCATAAGGAGTGTCTGGGTCGACTGGGACTCTGTGGGAGAACAGGTGAGAAGGAGACTTTTCACTTTTTTATTTTTATTTTTTGTATTACCCTTTGGTACTTTACATGTAATCTTGAGAATGGATGGCTTCCACTTCCGTGATATTTGCTGTGTATATTTATGTCCCTTGGAGAATACATCCTAATTTTTAGCTGACCTTTCCTCTAGTGCCACCATCAGGGCAAAATTACCCACAAAATATCAAAATCTAAAAGGCAGATTTCCATGAAATTTACTGAGCACATTCACTTCTCCCTGGAGAAGAACCGCTTTACATTTTGTGGATTGAAAGAGCATTTCTCTCGCTCTATATTTATGTCAGATTGTCAACTGGAATACAAGATCTCAAACAGCTGGTTTACTATGAGATACGATGTAAATATTTCGGATCCCATACCAATTATATCTCCCTCGATTAGGTAACCCTCTGACCTACCCTCAGGCTAAAATATCCATTTGTACATACCTTTATTTTCCCCTCAGGAAAACTTTCTTCTTTAGAAACAGCACCTTTTAAGCCATTTGGATCAGTTTAATGAACCCATAAGTATGTCAGGTATTTAGCAGGTGTTGCATTTTACTCCTGCGCCGTGCATCGGCTCTTTGCCACCAGTGTTTGTAGGGTGCAGTTCTGCTACATTACCTTCCCTGAATACACAGACAGCTCGGGTCTTTGACAACTCTCCTTAGCAGACGCCTGGTGGTCTTTATGCATTCTGAGGCGTGATGAGGGCCAGCAGAGGTTGACAGTTGAGGTTGTATGTCAGGAAGCCACCACGCACACTCATATTGTAATTCCTCTCACTGTGTCTTTCTCTCACCTGACTGCAGATCCTGCCAAGCCGAAGCCCAGGGTAAGACCCGGACTGTTTCCTTTCTTCGACTTAGACACCCAAAAACTAACGCGACACACTCGCACTTCAATTGGTGATTTCACACCAAAGGGCTTTCTTTGCCACATCAATAAATAGTTCAGTTCCAGAAAATGCTGGTTAATAGATTTTTGGAGTGCAGTTGCAAAGTAGAAGAAGCAGCTGCTAATATATTTGCCACTGCATACTTTATACTTTATACTATGCCTAATCTTCTTCATCACCACAGCCCTCCTCTGGATAATATTACCTCTAACTTCAGTCTATGGACACTGGGTGGTTTAATCAAACAGACTCTGCCCACTTATATTCATGTGAAATGAGATGCAACTACTGGAAATTAATTATAACATTTTGCTTCAAATGATGCAACAAAAATGGTAAAGATTTCATTACATAAAAATCATTACATTTTTTGGTTGGTAACATTTGTTGACATTATCCATCCCACAAACAATTACCGCAACGTCAACATGAAATATTTATAGATTGTGTTCATGGGAGAAGTAATTATTTAAATAGGAGGCCAGTCAAACCACAGACTGTTTCAAATAGAAGACAGCATGACAGCTCCCCAAAAATTCAGCAAAAACATTTAGAGCTCCCCCTTCTGCCCAGCGGCAGTATAGATTATAAACTCCGCCTCTTGCTTGTTAGCAGATGGGACAATTGGTCAAACAATACAATCAAAAAGACACTTCTTTTTTTCCTCAAACATTGTTTCTGTTTTAAAAGTTGGGTCTTTTCACGCTGAGATATGTCTGAGTGTTTATTTTTTTGAGAAGTTTAGTTTTGTATTGTTTTGAGGTAGGAGTAAAATGCAGTGATTGACAGCTCTGTTGACAAATGCGGCTCCTTCAGCGCTGCGATGCCAGCGCAATATATCAGCACCCGTCACAGGGGTATTTCCCTTTGTACAGGAAGTGGAGACGCATCATCCATCTTTTTTTTTTTTTTTTTTTTTAAGATTTATTTTGGGGCTTTTAGCCTTTATTTGGATAGGACTGATAGGACAGTGTAGGAAATTGGAGAGAGAGTGGGGAAAGACATGCAGGAAGTAAGCTGCAGGTCGGACTCGAACCCCGGGCTGCCCACTTGGAGGACTATAGTCTCCGTACATTGGGGTACGACCTAACCGCTAGGACATCATCGCGCTGAGTCCATTACATTTTCTCAAAAGACGCTCAAGAACAGAGCACCAACGTATCCTAAGTTTTTCTCTTTTAAATGTTTTGACGAGTCCAGAGAATATAAAGCACACAGATAATTGAATTAACAGTATGACTCATTCATAAGGTCAGACTGAACCTGCACCATGAGAAGTATGATTACCTAAAACTCTTTTCTTCCTCCCTGGTTGTCTTTCTTGTTCCCTGACTTGCTTTCTTTCTCTCTCCATCCATAGGAAAGTACAGCACCAGCAGACCCAGGTCAGTATGGCTTGACCACTTAGCCACTTCTGTGAACCTGCTGAGGGCTTTACGTGGTCCCTCTTAAGCTGCTTTCATCTTGGTTCTGTAACAGAACAGAGACACTGAGAGGATGAAAAGAGTATGGTTAGTCAGAGGCCAGAGTGAAACCTGGAGGAAATAGATGCTGCTTTAAAGCAAACCCTCAGATGTTGCCAAAGATACCCCCCCTTCACATTTTTATTTATCAAATATTACTCAACTTTTTTTTCTTTTCCTTTAAAGTACCCTGAAGACTTTTTCTTACAAATGCACAAACAGGGAAGTCTCCTGCTCATACACAGGCTTGAAAAGGAGGAAATAAGCAACAAAATTATCCCCTTCACAAATACATTTGAGTAAGAATAGCAATGGATAATAGGACGCAGAAGGAATCCTTACCCCAAGCAGAAAAAAAAAAAACCTTTTCTCACCGCATGCCGCGATGCTGAGACCCAAGACGGCGTTGAGATGAATTGGAGTGGGTGGAATCATTATGAGGACCGCGGCAGGAGGAATTTTCTGCTGGCAGAAAAGCACTTCCAGCAGTCTATATGCCTCGGCTTCAACCGCTCAGCTTTGCCTTTGTGATAAATCAATTTCCATAAAGGGCTTTTGGAAAAGACATCCGTGCTTATTGTTCTTATTAAAAAAAAGAAAAGAAAGAGTGTGAGATATTTCATTCATTGGAGGTCACTGCCAGCTAATAGCGTCCTCTGGGCTGGTTTCGCGTGGGAGACATGGCTGGAAGGGGGGTGTGTGTGTGTGTGTGTGTGTGGGGGGGGCGTGTCCAGGGGGGCTATATGTGTGAGTCTAGGGGAGAGTAAGTGGCTGTGTCTCTTAAGTTGGCAGGGGTGTTTAGTCTTAGCCTTAGCCGGATGCTTGTGGCTGTATTTGTCTGGCACACTGAGGAAAGATTGGAGCGGCTCCGTTCAGGAATCAAAGAGATGAATTTCCTGCAAGAGTCAATTGCTGCTTCTTTAGCATGTCTGACGGTTTAAGACCTCAATAATAAAAAGTGTCAGAATGTCTACATTTATGTTCATGGTTAACAAAAATCAATTGGGCTCAGACCTTAAGGACCGTGACAGTAAGGAAGTTTGCTTAATATATGTAATTGTCGCACACAATTCAACGCATCAGGGGCTGGCATTTTGACTAACCATGTCACCACTTCATGACTTCTCATGGCTGTGTGTGAATGAGTGTGACATGAAAGGAAGTTAATTTGGCTGAAGGATAAGTTGACAGCGGCATAAAAGAAGTAGAAGAAGAAGACAGCTGGAAAATGTCAGACAGCCATGAAAAGGTGTTAAGATATAAGAGGGGGGAACAGACACCCAGCTGCAGTGAATAAATACATTAATCCTGCACTAAACCTTTTTAGGAGCATTTTATATTCTTCAGGTAATTAGATATTGTGATGTAATATAATACGACTGTCTTGCAACGTATCAATTGTCACAGAATCGCTGTATTGGGATTTTATCGTCATGCCAGGCCCATATCATATCATCTTCTATTGTACTGTAAGGTATCGTATCGTTATAATGATTTGATTGATTTAAAGCAGCAAAATATTTGTATAGGTTAAAGTTGGCTCACAAGAGAACAACAGGTCAGTTAGACTCAGAGGTGTTAGGAACCCACATATTCTTCTGCTTCTAGCAGGGCTGAGCAGTGTTTACAAATTACAGTACCAGTATCCTTAATTGATACTGACACCACCAGATAACTTCATTTAATCCAGTTTATAAGCCGTCTTTTTGAGGGTTTTGTTAGCATCTAGCCGCGCTGAACACCATTCTTCAATATATTCTTGAACCTAAAACTCCACAGGCTGTATAGGATGTACTTCCTTGAGTTTGGCCAATACACCTATCTGTGATTAAAACACATACAATTGTACGTTTGATTATATCTTGGTAAAAACAGAATTCAATTTGTACTGGACTCGGAACCGCAGTTACAAGAGAAAAAACGACATGAAGAGGGATTATATAAAACGTGACAATTCCAAATATCGTATTGGTCCGAATATAAGACGACCCTGATTATAAGAAGACCCCCGTTTTTCAACACTCATATTTAGAAAAAAAAGATTTGCAGACCAGATCTTGTTTTTGTAAAGAACTTCATTTTATTTGAAAATAACAATATTAAAAACACATTGAATTAAACACCTGTTGTATTAATAATTATAATAATAATTAACATACCGTATTTATCGGTATAGGCCTACGGCACTTTTCAAAACAAAGTGTTTCACAAGGGCGAACTATGTGCAGTATGATTCAACATTAAAATCGATTAACAATCAAACAATATTATCAACATGTTTTTAACATTTTGAAATAACAGAGGAAATACAGGCAACGTTTTTAACTAAACTACCGCTAAACTAAAACTCTCCAAACTTCTCCTCCGATGTCTCCTATTCCTAGACCCCGAATATAAGACGACCCGACTTTTTCGGACCTATTTCGATGGGGAAAAAGGCCGTCTTATATTCGGACCAATACGGTATATGCCGACATAAAAACACCTCCATGTAGCGCTGACACATTGCCATAATACCTCAGAGGAAGCTGGTACCTTGAACCACTCCAAACTTATATCTCTGCCTTGCAATTGCCAGGTATTATACGTTTTTGATTGATCAAATGTTCAAACAAACAACAACATTTGAAAAAAAAACCCAGTTTGTTTTAAATGCATTATTTCCTAAATCTCATCATGTTGTCTGCATCATGTCAAAAGTCTTTCTTCTTACATCTTTAATCTGTAACCAATAATAAAAGAATCAGGATGCACGAGGTGTTACCACTCAGGGAAAAGCTCTTTATTCCTCTCTATCAGTCTTTTAAATAATTGCCATTAAAATGAGAGTAAATCAATTCGTATTCCCTGTCTTCTAGGTCTCCCCAGGATGGTTGTGATCAGAGACTACGACGGCGTCCCCTGTCCCCACTGCGGGCCCCCACTAAGCATTCATGCGGGGGACGTCATTGAACTGATGTTTGCCGACCTGCACAGCTCCTGGTGGCAGGTGCGTGTCACTCAACTCATCCTCGTTTTTTCATCTTTGACATCTGTGACTGAAAAAAAAAAAAACATGTTACGGCTCACCGGGCTGGCTCTTTGCACGCGATGTCTTTGCAGTGTCAACGGTTTGAATCCCCGTTGCAAGTCTCCTCTCTCTCTCTGTACCACTACCTGACAGAGAGAAAGCTTCTTGAAAAAATATATGAATGGGTTGACATCAACGGTTAACTTATTGGCTATTATTGTATCTAAATCATACAAAGAGATCGAGGCTCTTTATCACATTCTGTGTCCTGCCAGGTGAGCCCATAAATGTGACATAATGATGAGGTCATTGTAAATTTGAAATATCAGAAAAAGATCTGTATGAACTCCACTGGACCTCAGACACATTACCAACAGGGATATCTGTCTTTTTCTGTCTTGCCTCAGATTGAATCACAGCCCACATCAGATGATCTAACCAATTAGTGGCTTCAGCTGATTAATAGAGTGCCAGAGTGAGACACTAAAACAGCAGATACTTCAGCCTCTGGAGGATGTTTTAATGGTTGGTGCACAACCTCATGTACAGGCGCATTAAGCAACCATCTCACGAGGTCGCCCAAACGGTTGACAGAGTTTGACCTTATCTATTTTTTTGAAAAGGATGGCGATTTATCTGGGGTCTTCCGGCAGCCTCCCTAGCTGTTTCTCACTCTGCTTTACGGCGGGCATTAAAGCCCTCGTCCTTCTCCTGGTGCAGCTCCAATCAGACTGCAGTCTTTGCCAACAGCACGGCTGGGAGTTGGCCGTTTGCCTGATTTCTTATGCTGCGTGTTTTCTCTGTGTTGTGACAGAGCACTAGGTGGAGGGTGAGAGCAGGAGTGCCAGGAGATTTCCTGTAAACCGATAGAATGGCAAGCAGAATGTCATGCCACAGGCCGGTTTGCTACCTCGGTAATCATGCATGCTAGGAGGGGTTAATTAAATCAATTAAATGATGAAGCACATTTGTGTGGCACTGAAACAATGAGCTGTTCAGAGTCAAAAGCTGTTTGAATACAGTTTGTTTTACGTGTTCTGTCCAAACAACTTACACAATGTGCATGTTTGGAACAAGTTAAAAAATGTTGATTATATGAGATGCATTAAAAAGGCAGAAAGAAGGGATGCCGGGGACCTAGTGGTTAGTGCACACGCACCATGTACAGAAGCTCATGTCCTTGAGAGCAGGCGGTTCAAATCTCTTCACATGCTGCTCAACACTTTCTCTCTCCCCGGTTTCCGACTCTATCCAATGTCCTATCTGTAAAATGATAGGCATAAAAAAGCCCAAAAATAAATCTTACGAAAGAAGTCAAAGTCAGAAAGCATTAACTTCAGTGGCAGTGACGAGGAGAAATTGGCAGTCATCATCAACTTCATTTTTGTTGACTGACTCAGGAGTCTATTAGAGAACAGAAAAAAACAAACAAGAAAAAAAACAGGATATAAAAACAAACATGGTAAAAATCAGAGAGGGGAGTTCAGCTTTCTTATTCCCACAATTGTGTTTGAAATAAAAAAGAAAGGGAAACTCTATTCTACCCAGTATGAGTAGTATGTGATCGCTATCCAAAGTCTTCTTCAGAAACATCCCAAGGGCCACCAGGGGAAGACCACCCTCATAAAGATCTGTGTTAGACCCAAATGGGGGTTGGACTGGGATTTCTTTACAGCTCAATTTGCAAACGAATGGAGGGAGATTGATGTTTCAAATGCCGTTTGAATGGTAAAATAAATTCAGCCACTGTGGAGATATCAATTTTTAAACTGAGGAAAACTGTCTTGCCTGCAGATTTGACGGAGTAGATTTGAAGGAAAATTCCATCAGTCAGCTGTGAGGTGTAGGTGGGTGATTTCACATTAAAGAGCCAGAGAAAAAAACATTAGTCATTTGACCTGGGGGAAAAAAAACATTACTGAGAACATTAAACCATTAGGCTTTATTCCCTGTTAAACTATGTGTCTTTTATCATGACTAGATTAGCTGTTCTTTTTCTTCCTGGTGATTGGAGATGTAGCTACAGTCTCATTTAGTTATGTGGAATAACAAGCTGAATTTAAGATGTTGTACCATTAACATATCTAAAAAAGTTAACAGTAATGAGAAAGCAAGTGAGAAAAAGTAGATTTTGCTAAAGCGTCTAGCTGTGGCTTAATCACCAGCTCGCTTCCTCTGATGCTGTTCACTTGCTGGAGCTGTTTATTTAACTGCTCGTCTGTGACAGAGTCTAGTTAATGCAGTTTGGCTTCATATTTGACTGTATCACAGGTATATGCAGGTATGCAGGTATCACAGAAGTTTTTTTTATGGGGGCTTTTATGCCCTTATTTATTGATAGTACAGGGGATAGAGTCGGAAACAGGGATGAGCGTGGGGAGTGACATGCGGGAAAGGAGCTGCAGGTTGAAGTCGACCCCGGAAGGCAACAAGATCCACCAGCTTTTTGTCATTAAAAGCATTTTTTAGGATGGCCAACAGCATCAGGCTGCAAAGTCCAACAAGTGCATTTATGCATACTATAATTCAGAGCACTCTTTACTTAATATTATTAATCTATACATTGTCCCTTTTCCAGAAAATAAAAGCATTAAGAACAATACAATCTAAGTCAGTCGTGTCAATGAACAAAAAAAAAAATGTGCAAGTTATTTCCAACAAGTTTCTGCTGATCTTAAAGTCACACACAATGAGTTTGTGGAGAAACAGTGAATCTAAAACAAAACCCAGTTTGTTTACAATGAAATCTCCACAGGGTGCCTTTAATCTCCCGCGTCCCCAGCGGTGCCAGAGGATGGAATTACAGAACATTGAGAATTCATATCCCCTGTTACCCAGGAGGCAATTATCCCCCATCCCAGTGGCAGAACAATACAATCAATCACTGTAATTTCATTTGATCCTCTGGCTGCTGCCTGTTTATGCCAACAGAGTAATAAGTTTAATCTTTATCATACGCTTATCGAAGGCATAACAAATAGAGAGGGGCCTCTCAAAAAACCCTTTGATAAAATGTTATTACACAGAATGAATCATAGTGATGGGTAAAGCTTTGCTTTCCAATCCAGTTACTGCCGGGGCCTGAACGGTCCCAAAAAGCATTTTATACTCTAATAAAGAGGAGTGAGGAGGAAAGCATAAACAGGGCAGGGAGCCGAATGAAGAGCTCCACACTCACTGTCTTTAGATTGACTCAATGGACTTCATATTGACCTCAACACTCAGCTCTGGAAACTCCAATTATCCGGAGCTTAATCTTCCTACACATGCTTATTATTACTGTCTGAAAGATTTAAGAGAGTTAAGGTTATAAAATAAACTGGAGGAGGAAGTCTGTATTCAAATGAAGTGGGTAATTTGTTTACCCAATTTGGTTCATTTAGCTGCAGAAATAAAACGTGTCTACATTGTGTTTTGTTGAAGGCATTAATGATTTTCATATAAAGCCTGTGCTTCCTTGAGGCAGGATAGCTAAAACGCATTTGTTAGTCTAGAGTGAGCCGGGGAGCTCACGCTGTTTGGATATTCAAAGACCAGAATAAGATCCATTATTTAGTGTTAAACGAGGCTCCTGTTTTGATGCAGTACAAATCTAACTGCCGGCAGAGTTTGAACCGTAATTAACTTGGGCTGCAAATTAGATGCGCTGCTTGTTGTGTGCTAATTGCTGAGGATTTATTGAAGTGAGTGTGGGAGAGGAAAAAAGAGAGAGAGAGAGAGAGAGAGAGAGAGAGAGAGAGAGAGAGGTGTAGTTGCTCCCAGACAAATATAATGCGATTAACAGCCAGTTGCCTTTGCAGGGCAGAATTCTGGCAACAAGCAAGATTGGCTTCTTTCCAAGTGATGCTGTGAGGCCCTGCCCATGTGTAAGTCTGCATATTTCTCATAATCAATACGACACATTATGTGTGATAACAATGCATTCAGTGGATAATGGCTGCTGTTGACGTCTAAGCGTAGGAATTTAGTGCTTTTAAATGGAGCTTTTTTCACTGCAGAAGACTGATTTTAGCCATTAGATGTGGCTTAAATATCACATTACCACAAATGACCTACACTTCTTTGTATCGACTCCATTAAGACACAGACTTAACCACATTTTCTGTTCCACGCCAGGTTCCAAAACCTGTTGATTACTCCGCCCAGCTCTGGTAAGCGATGAAAACAAATGAGCACAGATTGCTAACCATAACCACAAGTTATTCTTGCTCTATTGCACTGATTGTATTGGCTGTTATTACCCTCATGTTCAGAGTGATTGATTGCAGTGTAATTGCAGCAGTTGATCAAGGGGGGGGGTTCAGGTTTGCAGGGCCGATGGAGAGGTACCAGGCCGAGGTGGAGCTCCTGGAACGAGGAAACAGCACCTATCTGGTTCGACACAGGAGTAGAGAGTGCACCGAGTATGCCATGAGTATAAAGTAAGTGACAGGACGACTTGTTTTTCCATATTAACTCTCCTTTAACGGTCAGATTAGTAGATTAAGAGTGGAGGAATAAAGAAAATAAATGCAGACAACAGTAGTCCAAGAGGAAACAAAGTAATCAGACGAGATGCCTAGATTCATATTACTGCTCTTTACTGTACAACAATGGGACACTGCTTAAATAGAACAGTGGCCCTGTAGGGTAAAACTAAAAGATATTCAACTAAACACTGCAACATTTCACAAAAAACAGAGTTTACAACACTCTTAGATTTACAAAATAGAAGGACATTTCATAAAACACAACAACATTTAATGAAACTCAACGTTACGACACTTCTTGTGGGTCGGCTGTGGCTCAGTTGGTAGAGTAGGACGATCCCCAGCTCCTGCAGCAACATGTCCGATGTGTCCTTGGGCAAGACACTCAACCCGGAATTGCTCCCGCTGCTTTGCAGCGGCGTATGAATGTGTATGAATGAGATTAGTTACTTCTGATGGTCACTTTACATATCAGCCTCTGCTATCAGTGTGTGAATGTGTAGGTGTGGCCTGTGGTGTAAAAGAGCTTTGAGTAGCCAGAAGACTAGAAAAGCGCTATACAAGCTCAAGTCCATTTACCATTTATTAAAATACTATAATATTACATTTCATGAACATTACATTTAAAAAATTCTCAAAACAAAAAATAATTACAGAAAAAAACATTTCACAAAATGCGACGTCTTTCTGAAAACAGGATATCAGAGAAAACGTTAACTAGTAACAAAAAAAGTCTCAATCAATAAACTACAGCAACATTTCACAACATATTTCATGTCTCAAAAACAGAACAATTTTTAAAAACATTACATTTCATGAACGTGAGGGAGATCACTCAGGTCACTCACGGGGTGCGTTCAAATTGTCCCTCCTATCTCCTTTCACTATCCACTTTACCTTAACCCTGGGGAAAACGTCATGAGGTTAAGGAAAGATGTCAGGAGAATTCATAAAGGAAATTAGGGAAAGGCGATCTCGTTGCTCTGACAATCCGACCACATTTCCACTAGGCCACGTCATTAAATGCGACGGGACTACTAAAAGCGCATCTAAAAAACTTTCCCCTGTGCCTTCTTGTCGGTGAAATAATCCTAATTACCACAAGGTTGGGATTGAAATAAAAGCAATATAGACTACCAGGCTACAAGTAGCCTAACAAAAGTGAAACCATCACATTCCTGTCCACTCAGAAATCAACATCAAAGTAAATATGATTGTATGATATTAATTGTTACATTTATGTAAGATATAACCGACACATAATGTTGTATACAAATGTACAACTGCACAAAGCATTCTTAAGTGAATGAAATATCTTTAATAAAACATGATCTGATAAAAATGTCTCTTATCTTTTTATCCCTCACATGATCTGTGTCACTTTACGATCATCGTTAATGTTCGTGAACGGTCGGATGCGCGAGTCGCTTTAAATGTTGCAGCCGCAAGGAATTGTGGGGCGGCATATCTCATCTCCTTTCGTAAAGGATGGTTCAGTGTATCCTATGCTGAAGGAGGTTATAAAGGAAGCACTGACCCACCTTTCCTTAACTTTTAGAGAATTCGAACGGCTCTTATCATGGCCGCTACTTAAATGCTTCCGGGTCATTTCACTCAGTTTCCTTGCTAAGCAAAAATGACAATTCGAACGCACCCACTGAGTGTATGGGAGGTAACCGTCTCAGTGCAGTGTCAGGTGTGTGTGTGTGTTTGTGTGTGTGACTGATTGGCTCTGATTTGGACCAGCTGTGTTAAGTTTATATATTCCCTTGAGTTGCAGCACTCTGTGCAGACTCATTGTCTTACCATCAGGGATAGTGAGAGGTTCTCTCTATGTTTCTTTTTGTCTTTTAGAAGTGTGTGATTCTGCAGAAGCACCACTTGATTTGCCTTCTATTTCCAAAAGCTCTACAAGTGTAGTTTGTTGGTGCTTGGAGTTTCTGACCCATCCTTTTTGTTTCTTTGTAAACACGAGCCTGGTTGCCTTTGTGTCTTAGCTGTAGTGAATTTCTTTGTTCTTCTCTTGAATCTAGTTTTTCATTATCAGCTGCTCAGCTGCGGTGGTTTTGTTTCTTCTTATCTCAGGGCTTTTTAGAAAAGGGAGCCCATGTCTTTGGCTTGTAACTATTTTGCTTCTTCTTACTCCTTCATTCAATCAATTTGATTTTAGTGGTTATCCTTCTGGGGTGACTTTAAGATTCCCCTAGGTTGCAATTGCACCCCACTCATCATTGCAATGAATCACAATATTTCAGCACACCTGATTATTAACAAAACACAACGTTAAAAAAACTCTAACGAAACAACTCTTCAAAAAAACATTTCACATATCAATCTCAATAAAAAAAAAAACAGATAAACATTTCACAAAAAGGTTCTTGAAAAAACACTTCTGAATGTCTGCAAAACTGACTTTACACAAAACACAAAATATTCTTTACACAAAAGACACTTTTTACATTTAAAACAACTTTTTACACAACACAACCACATTTCTTTAAAAAAAAAAAAAAAAAAAGTTTGGTGTCGCAGAAGAACATCTCAGACTACAGACAGGTTCAGACTTCACCGTGAACCACACAACTTCATAGACTTCTTTTATAAACTCTTTTACAATGCAACATTACAACCCACATGTCTGCCGTCTCTTTTTGAGACAAGTGGTCATTTCATAACCTGACCTTGATGAAAAAAAAAAAAAACATTCTTTGTTGCAACAGCTTAGTACAGAAGAACTAGTCCCTTTGAACACAGTTGACAATGAGGTCTGTTTCTTTTTCCTGGAAGAGATGTGACTGCTGAATTTCTCAAGTGTCATTTTTTTTTTAAAAGCCTGTGAGTGTAAATCATGAAGTTCTGCCTTTACAACATGAAGGTACATAAAGAAATGATACATCAAATGTAATCTGGGAACAGAAAACCAAAGGTTCCTGCATAATAATCAAAATAATAGAGGTAAGTCTTTTTACTGAGTCTGCCCTTCCCATTTAAGTAGTGACGGCTCTGTTGAAACCTTAACCACTGTTGATTGTTGCTGTTACCCAGATTGTGAATTTGAAGGATCTATTCCACCATCTCTCTATTGTCTGTCTCTTCAGTGCAGACATACTGTATGTTCAAGGAGAGTCTGTTAGCTTTGCATCATACCATTTGCCGCACTACCAGACTCAGAAATGTATTTCAAAGACAGCTAGCATCGCACTTGAATCGTAGATAAAACATTCATCCCTTTAGGCTGCAATATATGGCTGCTTTATCTGCAAGTTGAGTGCCTCTTTTGAAATACAACACTGTCCATTTCACTGGTGAATATCTCTCAGGCTACATCAAAGCATGTTCAGTCTTTAAAAAAAAAAAGAAGAAAGGATATCGAGTCCTCCCGACCTGGCATGACGGCTCTGAGAGATTACAGCAAGTGAACGTGTATATTCTGAAACAGTGTTTGGATTTTAAGACCATTTAGCCAGTGACACACCATTCCAGCCCATTTGGTTTTTGTGGACTCATACCGGCCTCGCGTTCAAAGCTTTGAACACTCCAATCCTAATTGCCTTTCGCGCTGCTTAAGATCATTATCAGGATGGCTGTTTGAGATAATGGAGCTTTATACGGAGAGCTGCTACTAATCAACGGGAACTGTCTAATGTCAAACACTGCGAGTTGTCCGGTTGTGTGTTTTGTAAAGTGTGTGTGTGAGTGAGTGTAGTCTTGGGGTTTCTTTGTAAGGGATAATGTTTAGTGAGCCGGTTGATATAGCACAATGGAACCCTGACTCGGTGAGCTGGACCTCGATGCGAAGTGGAGAGAGGTCTTTTCTGTTAAGAAACCCTCTGTAGCTGCATCCATAGCTTCAAAAGAGCTAAGCTTGCTGGCATTACTCACACTGACCTGACATAAGACAAGGTGAACAGGTCAGCATGAATCAGGGCCGCACCTGAATGTGCTTTTCTGCCTCATCTGTAACCTTGGCGAGGGCTGTAAGAACACACACAATACAATGCAATTCACAATGCTGGGTTCAGGATAGGATTGTTTCTTCATTTTCTTTAAAGGATTGAATTCAAAATAATTCTTTCAAAATGAGAACCACTTGAACAAAATAATTTACACAACAGCAGAAGAAGGTCAATATTTGATGTAAGATATTTCACATTAATCAGAATTTTAACTGGAGGGACCTACCGGAGGATGTCTCTCTTTCTCTCTCTGTTAGCTGCAGAGTGTGTGGAGACGACTCAATACTCATACATGAGGAGTAGTGAGAGAGGGAGAGATTGTCCACCAGATTATCAATCTTGGATTGGGATCTTTTGTGTATAAAAAAAGTGCTAAAATGGCCAACAAATATACCTGGGTGGGCTACACAGGTATCTTTTGGATGTGGCAAACACTGCAGTCTATTCTAATGCAAAACTAACCTGCTTCCTCCAGTTTGTACTGTACATCTTTTACAGTGCCCTGTGCAATGCCTCTGGTCTGATCTCCTGACGTACTATTACATTCTTTTGGTGGACTGATACCATTACAATTCATCCCAGAGAATCTGGGATTAGAGATTCATCCCCAGCAATGGTCTGTTCTTCATTGCGACCACCTAGAATCAAGTATTACAGATGTGCACTAAAGGAGGCAGAAAAAGCTCAGCCCTCACCAAACTGGGGCTCAGCCATCTCCATATGTTATGCACCATATAACTCAACACACATCAATAATGTATAAGTCACCATGTATTCATAATGTATCAGTAAATCTGTAACAGGACCATATTCTCCTCATCTGTTATGCTCTGAGATTTATATGCTGGATCCATCTCCAGTGTAAGCGGCACACCACCATATGAGACGCATGCTATTTACTGTTCTGTGCATGCATTCAGTTTGACAGGACATCCCCACATGTGCCTACAGCAAGTACTTACTGAATAATGTTTTTATTTTATTTTTTATTTTATTTTTTCCAGGCCCACATTACTTATCAGCAAAGCAGAGTGCTTATAGTATTTATTATTTAATCACTTAATTATTAAATAAGGCTCGTAGTTTATACTCCCAAGTAAGTGATGTAGTACTCAAAATAGGTCTCAAGACCGGTTTTGAGACCACTTTTTAAAAGTCTGGTCTCGGAATCAAATAATTTTTACTCTGCCTTGTCTTAGTCTCAGACTGGGTGGATTCGGATTTTAAATCAAGACCAGTCAAGGCCACCACTGACAGGCCTTTTCACGTCATAACTGTGATTAGAAGGAAAATGTGTCTTTCTAAAGGAACAAATAACTGAAATTAATTCATTATTTGAATTTTATCCCCCGATTATGTCTGCAAACTTCCAGATGTTATGGTCTAAGTGAGTGACAGGTCTTGCCCTGCCTTTTGGCATTTTCCTTTGGACCGTTTGTGGTTGTTTTCTGCTGGGTATTTCAATATGACTCCTTGTGTTTTAAATGTTGTATGGGTTCCTATCATGCATACAAAGCAGTACAACGTTTGTTCAGAGTTGACAAAATTTGTATAGGTTCAGGTGTTATTTTAAATGTGTTTAGTATACTCTTACATTTCTTCACTGTCATATGTATGGGCTGTTTGCAGAGAGAGATTTAAGAGGGGTATCGTATGATTTAAGGAGAGAAGGGGGAGAAATACCTTTCTGTAACATGCTGATCTCCTTTCTGCCTTCATTTCTATTTTCCTTTTTGATACTGGGTACTTTAAGCATTTTGTTTCTATATAAATGTATCAACCAAAGAAGGCTCACAAGCCATATCTGGTTTTATTACACCACCTATGATAAATATGATACAAGGCTGGGAAAAAAAATCATTTGAAACCACTGGTAAACAAAATAAACAGAGTAGAAGTGGGTACTCTTCTATTATCATCTGCTGTGAGTGAACTGGCTTTGGATGTCCCCAGCATGGTAACCAACACTCAGCCCAGATTGACCTCGTAAGTGGTTCACCATGGAGACTGGATTTAATGTAGAAGCATGTATAGTTGATTAGCAACCAATGTCTTATTCATACTCCACAGGTTCAATGAAAAAGTCAAGCACATTAAGATTCTGACCAAGGATGGCTGCTTTTACATTGCTGAGAGCCGCCTATTCAAGACTGTGCTGGTAAAGGTTTCCCTTTTTTTTTCGAATACTTGAGCCTCATGATCCACTGAAGCATTAATGACTAACATCCTTTGTACATCATATGGCTTTTTAAAAAGGTTTTGGGAAACTATAGAAGCCCTATAAGCACACATGCATCCATGTTTTATTGACTCTGTTTCCACATGATAAGTGATTTCCAGTTGTTTTCCTAAGATCTGCACTTTTTTTTAATCTCATATAGTTGCAAAAGCCCAAAACAAACATGAGACAAATAAGCTTTTCATGCCTCATCAGTGTGGGCAATGGCTGCATGGCATGTTCTTGGTCTGACCTATCAAAAGGATGATTGTTTTGTTTTCCAGTCCACCAGAAAATGATCTTGTTATCATGAGAAAACAAGCTTTGTTATCTCCTGATAATGAGATAAGGTGAGATATCGAGCAACAACCTTAAATAAATTGTTTATCACGGGAAAATTGAGTAAATAAAATATATATGGATGCATGTCTACTTAGGGGCTTCCATAGGATCCACCACTGCAGGAATGTGGAAATGTAACTTGTTCTTTACAGTGCTAAACATTTGTTTTTATTTTTACAATTCTATAATTTCACAAAGGCTTAAGCTGCCTGGTAGTGAATTTTGATTGCAATAGCTTGTTTGAAGTACTTCTAAGGGAAATAGGCTAAAAAAAAAAGTGGTATTATGGTTCCTCAGTCATGGCTGCATTTGTATAGTCAAGATCAAACAAATACCTTTCTACTAACCTTCCCATGTGTTTTTTTCTCTCTCATTTCTATTCCTGCAATACCATCTAGCTTCACCATGTTGTTTTTGTTAAAATGGGGCTTCCCTTTTACTTTACTTCTTGTGCACAGGACTTAGTGGACTACTACAAGGAGCATTCTCTGAAGGAGGGCTTCAGCAGTCTTGACACCACTCTGCAGGTCCCCTATAGGGAACTTTCCAATGGAAACGTGCCCAGGGCCATTACCAAGGCTGGCAGTGGTGAGTGTGCTACACAAACATCCAGGTGTTCTTCAGCTGACACCTCAGATCTACCTGACAGGTGGAAGTGTTAACCAGTCAGATCAGTTTTCCAGTTATAGATGAAAGTAATTCCGAGCATTTCTGTTGACCCATTTGGAGCACAGGAAGCGGGTGAGTTTTCCTGGGTAGTAGATTCTGTCTACGCTGTAAACCAGAAACATTATGCATAAAGTTATGGTCTGAATATAATAATAGATTTTTTAACAATATTATTCAGTTGCTTAATAATTGTATTTTATTGTATTAATAGAAAAAACACACATACGAACTATTCTAATAACTAATGTTGTTCCCCTTTTATCATAAGGAAACAATAGAAAAAGCTGAGGGTAGAAACAGTTTGCAGAAATAAATCTCTCACTTGATATATTTGATCACAACAGCATGGGTAACCAGCCATATGCTCTCACCTTGACACCCTGACAGTGATGTAGAGAAACAGTCCCAGCTGACATTACAAAATCATGACGATAGTTATTTTTTCTTGCTCATTAGACGCTCCATTTAAAACCATTTCTTGATACCTGTGGCATGTTTGACATTTAAGACATTGCTAGAAATATTTAGCATTATAACTTCTCTGTGGAAGACAGGAGAAGTTGTTTTCTTTAAAGAAATGCCTCTTAAGTGTGTGGTTTATATTTCTTGTCATTTGCAGTCTAATGCAGTCAAATACAACATCTTGTAAACATGTAATGCGCTTTTGGATATATTATGAATGCATGCCCATAACTCTTTTTATATTTTTTATAGACATCTTTCAGAATGAGTGTAAATCATATAATTTATAAAACATCACCATAGTCTCAGTAGTCATCAATTGGTTTTTGAAGGGGAGTTTTTGAAGCCCAATCATGGCGGTTGCCACATCGGAATTACTGTCTCAAAATAACTTTCTGTTAACCAACTATCATACAGGACATGTAGAGCAGGAGAGGGCCCTGGGGCAGGTTTTAAGCCTTCTTGCAAACAGCTACAACACGCCCACCTGTCAGTCAACCCAGCCACACACTTTAATATGCACATTTATAAAAAAATATTATTTATATAAAAAACTCCTTGGCTTAATAAAATCAAAACCTAAAGAAAGAGAAAAACTTTGATCAGCTCATCGCGAGCTGTTTATTGGTGAGCCTCTGAGTGTTGGGATTTGAGTCAACAGCTCATCAATACAAAGCACCACACTAATGTTTTTCCACCTTCAATACAAAAGCACTAGATGTCATAATGCATGCAGAGGGAAACTGACATCCACAGAGCCAAGAAGTAAATATTTAACAAATACAATGTTGACAGCGAGCGTGAGATAAAGTGTGAGATTGTGCGTTATGCGATGCTGTTAGAAGCATGCTAAGCCAACACACGGAGCTAAATACCAAACCTTACAAGAGCTTAAGAGAGTGAACCCAAAGCAGGACATTGGATATTATTTTTTCCTTTTAAGCTACTTTTTTAAGCAGTAATTGTGTAGCTGGTATCAGTAACAGGGAATTATATTTAAATGGACCACCTTGTTGTGTAAATGGATTTTGATTGGTTCTATTAATGAACAGAAACAAGGATTCAATCCGGCTATCAGCTAATTACAGCTGGGGTGTATGACTTCCATGTCCTACAGGAACTGATGCAGTGCTTTATTTAATTAAACAAGAAAGGAGCCCAGCCTTTTAACCAGTAGTGACCCTGTTTTTGATTACTTTAGGTAACCTGATAGATGTGATTCATGTCAGGTGGCAGACTTCCTCCATCTGGGTCACACTAACATTAGATAATAGGGATTGAGTCAGTATAAAAAATACTCCCAGTATCATACTGCACGCTGTTTTTAATGGTAGGCCGGTCTTAGTCTGTAAGGAACTTTAATTTCTACCTGCTGCATCATTAGACATGATGCCTTGTTGTACGTAAGTCCACTCCCTGCGTCATCACTGGCTCTCAAAGACAGGAGCAGATGTTCAGTGACTCTGAGGCAGCGTGTGAAGGAGAAAGGGAAATTAGAAATTAAAGAGGAAGATCCTACTACAATAGAAGGGGGAGGAGAGAGAACAGACAAAAAATCATACTTGTCAGATGCAAAAGAAATAGAGAGAAAGGGAGATAGGAAAAAGTAAGAGATGTGATGTCTCTATTTCTGTCTTTACAGTGATTGCTATTTTAGCTTAGCATAAAAACATGAACAGGGGCAAACCGATAGCAGGCCTCTGCACCTTAGTCTCGCTATTTAAAAAAATTAAATCAGTCCTTGAATACATGCAAATGAAAATGTAAAATCCAAAATGAAATGGTATAAAGTTGTGTGATTTCAGTATGGATGGGCTTTTGGGCTATAGTGTGCAGAGAACACGATAAAACAATTCGACATGCAAGTTAGAAACACTTTCCTCATAAATGTGGCCATTTATTGCAAAAGATATCATTACAGATAATGCGCTGATGTACAGTAAATGTGTGTTTCTGTACCTGAAGGTCATTGCTTGAACCATATGATTTTCTAAATCCATGCAAAACAACGATTTAGAAATGGGTAGATGGAAGAATGTTCCAGGAATTTTCTTAGCCAGGTCTGATGATTCGGGTTAGTTGCTGCTCTTTGGTTAAAAAATATTCTGCTCATGACTGATATGTTCTAATCTTAATGCTAAACTGAAACTGGGGATGCATGCTTCATGGTTAGAGTACAGACACTTGAATGGTGGCAGTTTGTCCCGCCAGAAAAGCAGCTTAAGCATGCTTTGAAAAAACAAATTATATGTATTAAAATATAGCAATAGGAATTATAAAATGTACACCCTGCTGAAATTGAGTGAGACACTCTGACTGCATTGTATTCTGCGTGCATTTGTAGGTTGAATTAATAAGACATCCTAATACAGATGGCGTGTAAATACCAGATGTAAATGGGGGAAAAATAGAGACGCGACAGGAACAAAGGGAAGGCAGGAGGTTGAAAAGAGAGAGAGAGAGAGAGAGCAGAAGACAAAACAAAGTGAGAGAGAGACAGTGAGTTAAAGAAATAGAAATGAGCCTCAGCAGCTCACCAGGCTCGGCAGAGAGGTCCCAGTTAGGGCCCGATGCCCCAGGCAAGCACCAGGAGCCTGCTACTCCAAACGTCACACTCCACACGCTGCTCAGCTCTGAGATGGCTTCACAATGTTCCTGACAGGACATGACATTTCACTTGGGGTGGCAGCGGAGAAAACCGCGTGACAGCCGCCCGCTGACACACTCCTCGGGGATACCCCTGGTCCAACGGAGAAGATGCGCCTGTTTCTGCAGAACTGGGGGGGAAAAAAGTTTGCAAATACGATCTGATGTAAAAGAGGAGAAAGCAGCTGGAGGTAAACTGTCGTAACTTAAAGAGAGGTGTACGTGTAAACAACCACGGTGATGGCGTCAGGAGCCACGGCAGGCGGAGGAACGCCGGAACAAAGTCAAAGTTAGCCCTTTGTGTCTGTTCGGATGTAAAATTCTGCTACATCCTTGTCCCTGTGCCTCCTTTGACAGCCTCGGTCTCCCAGCGCATCAGGCTTCAAAGCAGCTCGGCAAGAGGTGTGTTTGTGCATCAGTGCCATTCACAAACGCCCTGTTCTATGAGAAAGCCTTGACATACCCGCTGTTGCCTCAGTGCATTCTGGGATAGATTATTATTGCCTTAAGTCGTCCACCCCCATAGACAGACTTAGTGTGGGCACCCGCGTTCTCTTGTCTGGTAAACAGCCTCCATGGAAAGACAGATGTCATGCCAGAACAAAAAAACACACACACGCAAAATGGTTTGGATCTCAAAACAGACTCCTCATAGCGAAAGAAAACAGAATGAAAGGCTGAGCAAACATTCACAAGATGCACAACTGCTGAAATGCCATCAAAACTCTGGAGTAATTTGTTTGGAAAACCCAGACAGCATCTTTAAATAAGTCTGTCTGAGTGCGTCTTATCTGTGTATGTGTGTGAATAGTAAGACTGGGAAGCAATTAAATCTGTCAGGCTAATATTTTTGCTTTGAAATATCATCATTATAAGGGTATATCATTCTGTTACCTTAAAGCTATGAGACACCTAAACCTAATATTGTCAGAATTTACTTGTTTACATGTTTGTAAGTATCTATATTATAGTACTAATACTATATATAGTATAAGAAATTTGGAAATGTTTTGACATTGATATTGGGTTTGAACTGCACGAGGTAATGTTCTTGTTTTTATCTCCGGTTAGTTTATCTATCCAAGTTAATTCTCTCTATCCAATGATAACAAAAAGCCAAGTCTGTGGTTCTTTAAACTTAGGGTTAGTTATTGTTACAGACCAAGCATTGATGGCTAAGGGTAAATAGTGACCGTAGTGTTCAGTTTACACTTTGAAAGTCTTTTTTTAAGGATTATTTCAGGACATTGTGAATGTGTCTTCATCAGCGTTTGTTGGGCATCGGAAGGAGCAGTTCAGCTTGGGAATCACACAACACTTTCTAAAGTTTCAGTGAGCATCCTTTAGCATTGCATTCATAGCCAAGTAGGGGCATCTCAGCTAAAATTGCATGTGGTGCTAACTGATATGAATAGAAAGCAATTTGTAAATTTGTAACGACCATTCAGCAGCCACTTAAAATTAATGTTTTTACAAGTCAGTCATTCAGCGTTCTCCAGTGAACACTCACTCAGATGACTCTCAACATATCTAGGGTGTCTCATTGCTGCTTATCACATGTGGAGATGCCCTCAAGGGTAGACAGGCAGATATCAATCAAAATGTGATCTCTGTGCCCACACGGTTGATTTGGGTTTTCTAATATTTCACTCAGAGTTTTTAAAGGGCACTTAATGAGACTCTCAACTTCGCTTTTTGTATATGCCAGAGGCTCAAGACTAACGATGAGCGGTGACAGCTATTCAAAATCAGTGGAAATGAGATCTGAGAATCTGAGCATTTATTGAACCATGAACCAGATATCACAAGATATTAAGTATGAGCTTACTTAATGCTTCATGTAGGCCGACAGTTCACGTTTTGTGCACCTTATGTGTTTGTTTATGCTGTGTGTACGCTTCCTGCAGGTATGTGTGTGGGGTTTATTGCGTACACTCTGGTCACAAAGTTGACACATATTGGCCTGCATTTACTTATCCCTGTGGGGGAGAGGAAGAAGCCATGGAGCCATATTGTCGTGGTGACAGGAGGAGTTTTTTTTTTTCAGTGTAAGGGTCTGCCGGCTCAGATGGGATTTCATATGGGAGCAGAAGTCGTTGGCTCGGTGGCATGGATTCCCAGCCGTTGCCTTGTCAGGGCACCGTGCTGTGCCCAGACGTATATTTACCCCCATGCTGCTGCTGTAGCCCACCTGGTCTGATACTCAAAATGTTGTTTTTCCTGTTTTGTTCCTGTTTGTTATGCAGTAAAAATCTGACTAAGGTTGTTGAAGCTACACTACATGGCTGAAAGTATTTACACAGTTGGACACCTGATCTTTACAGCCAAATGTGATATCTCATTCAAAAAACGTCCTAGGCATCAATGTACTGCCTCCAGTAAATTTTTCTTAAACTGTCTGCAAGAATTTGAATCCCGTCTACAATGTTTACCACAAAACTAGTAAGTAGGCTACCCTAGTGCTAAGTCAGCTAATGTTGCTAATGTGCAGTGGAGACTTGTGAATAGTGAACACTGAAGGGTCATTTAAATACTTGTTTTGTAATGTTTACAGCCTGCTGATTGCATTTTAACTCGAGGTGTTATCAACTTAAGATTCAACTCCTCAACTCTTGAGGCTGTATTAAATATTCATATTTGTCAAAATTACACATTAAAAACCATATACCAGGGGAAATTACACACTGTCGTTACTAATGCTTTTATTGTTTTGCCCTCTACTCAACTCACTCCTCTCCCTTCGTTCTTGCTTTTTGCTTATTTTTAACTTTGCCAACTTTTCCTCTTACCCTCTCTCTCTCTGTCAAACTTGTGTTTTCTTTGCTTATGTTCTGTCTTTTCTCCCACCACGGTCTAACCCCCCCCCCCCCCCATCACTCGCTTCATTTCTCTGTAGTTCCTCCTGGCGGCTGCAGCTTTGTTCCTCCCACCTCCTCGCCTTTTTGGTCAGGTACAGGTACAACTTTTCTATACTCTTTCTTTGTCTCTCCCTTGCTGTTTGCCCACATTTCCGGGTTTCCAAAGACTGTTATCTGTCTTGTTTTTCCCATCTCTGTTGAATAATAGAGTCTAATGGTGGTGCTTTTTACGTCATATTGCACAGAACGTACTGGTTGCCATGTGGGAAGAAACCTTCACTTCGTTCGCGTTCTTTGAAGCTAAATCAGAAATGCAGTGAATTTCTGACAGCTATGATATCTCCCACTTGGTGAGAAGAACTGCAAAATTGTCAACCAACTTGTGGCAGAGAACAGCAAAACCTCTGCTGGCATCTCCTTTTTTTTTACCTAATTAATAAAATAACAACATTACACCAGAAAGTCAGCAGTTTGGAGTTTCCCAAAATGTGACAAACATAAAAAAAGGCTCATTTTGGTTTAATACCTTTTTATTGGATAACTACAAGGCTAATAACTTTAGCAAATATGTTGAAATAATACGAGAATCTGCCAACATGGCATGAAAAGAGCAGATTCGTCTACTTCAATGACTTTATTTTTCCCATCTTTGCGTGCACTGTGGTCCATAAGCATGTAGGTATACGCATGCATGTATGTATGAGTGTGCTGAGTCTGTGCTGGCATAATGTGGCTGTGTGATGCATGAGGAGGCAGATGTATTCCTTTCATATCTCTCCATGTGTGTCACCTGTATTTCCACAGATAAGGTAAACAAACCTATGCACACACATGCTCACATGAGATATGAGCCCTGACCTGCCTGTGTAGTGATAACCTTGAATAACCTGAATGTGTGAGCTGTGTTGAATATTAACTTTTAAAAAGATCAACACATGACAATGGTAACCTGTGGCCTTTTCTCGGCTGCATGTTTGGGGCCATCGAGCTGGGCTGCTGTGTGTATTTCTTCATTTGTCACCACTGAACATGATGAGTTCTCTCCACTTAATCTCTGTGATTTTATGAGTTTGACTCAAACACAAGAGTCGAGCCTCTTTGTTGTCTTAAATCCTACAACAGAGCCATACTCATTTTACTGTAGATGATACTTGGGAATAAGGTGTTAAAATACTTTGTACATACTGTAGAAACATCCGAAGATAAAAACATATAAACTAATGATACACAACTGTCAGGCCTAGGATAGGATTTAAATCAACATATGCAGATTTGATCAGTAATGTTAGCGCTATCCTCCTGGCTAACATTAGCTCCCTCTGCCTGCGCTCCGATCAGCCTTTGGAGCTGGCTGAAACATGTTCTTGTTGGGTTCAAATGCCCTCGCCAACTCCCTCCTTTTCTTTTCTGGCATCCTCACTTTGTGCAGGACCTGGAATGGCTTTACTGATTCCAAACTGGCATAGCATTTAAGTTCACTGGACCCCCTTTTGTTAGTAACAGAAAACAAAACTGTCCTTTGCTCGAGCTGCAATTGCCCGTGGCCTGAATAGCTGTGTTAGCAGGCTAATGTTAGCACACTTAAGTTAGCACATAGCTTCACATTGCACATAGATTGACACAGAATGACCGTGATCAACAAACTCTTACGCAACATTTAAATAAGCAGTGAGTAGGCTATTCTTCTTTTCTCTAGTTCTTGACTGAAACAGCTTTGTATGCAAGGCCGTCCTGTCCATGTAAACACGATGTAAACACAGCTCCGACAACAACAGAGCCAGCGGGACTCATGCTTCTCTCTCATTGTCGACAGTCATGACTCAGAGAGACATTTACAGAGGAAAAACTTGATTTCTTTTCTTGTTTTTTTGCTTTCCTCCCTGGGCCCTCCCCATGAAAAAAAGCCCCATAAAGCCTTATCCCCTCTAATGGGCGGCTTTGACAACTGTAAAAACTAGAATAATGAAGTTTAGTTGAGCTTAAGTTGTCATAGTAGTGCCAAACATCTTGTTAGTAACGCTGCCCTGTGTGATTAAGTTATAACGTGCCTGTTTTTCAGTTTCAGTCAGTTAGGGGTTAAGTTAAAGAGTCAGTCATCAAACATCACTGCCCCTACTCGAGTGAGTGACAGACCTTAGAGTTAAAAGGAAATCTTTGAAAAAGTTTCCAATTCCAAATACAAGGGAGAAAAAATGGTTTGAAAAGACTTCAAAGGGGCTGACAGGTGAGACGTTCTCCCAGCACTTAATGGCAGGGTATCTTAGATGAGAAAAATGCAACATCAGAATGTTTTATTATTATTCCTAATATTAAGTGAGTAATAAAGCTTGAAACTGTTGCAGCACCAAGGGGGTAACTCTTTCATCCACACTTTGGATTAGATTCTGATTAAATTGTCTTACTGGGAGTGACTGATTTGTTGACGACCATTGACAGCAGAGCGCCTTAAATCCACAGTGCTCCGTTATTTTCCATTTGTACGACCAGAGTTATTTGAGACCTTTACTGAAACACTCTGAATCTCTGATAGTATAGTCTCAAAATAGCTGAGAAATTGAAGGAGGTGAATTGCAATAATACTAAGGAACTCCTTGTCTCAGTGTTTTCCCCCAGGGTGGTGGGTATTGCAGTAGCACGCTATGACTTCTGCTCCAGAGACACACGAGAGCTCTCCCTGCTGCAGGGAGACATCATCAAGATCTACACCAAGATGTCCAACGGGTGGTGGAAGGGACAGGTCGACGGCAGGGTAGGTCTGTTGTAGGGTCCTGTCACCATGGCAAATACCTCTACACGTGTATACATGTTTTTCTTTGGTGTCACCCCAGGGCAGTAACCTCTTGTATATCAGTAATTAAAATCACTGTATTCTTAATTAACATGAATTGGAATAGTTCAATTACTCCCTGTGTGTTCAGATAAGTGCACCTGCCTAATTTGTATCCTGCCATTCTGCTTCTCAGGTGGGCTGGTTTCCCTCTAACTATGTGGAAGAGGAGGACTGACCTTGCTGGATTAAGTATCCATTCAACACTGACCACCTCCAGTGAGCACTATTCAGCTCAGCCACTCTCTGTGCCCTGCAAGTCAGATCTCTTTGATAAAACCCAGAGACTTGGACTGAAGAGGGAAGCGACAGTGCCCTCAGAAACCTTCTCCTGCCCTCTGACGGACTCCTCACACCGAGCAGACGTCAAATCACAGATTCCAGGAGCGTCGCGCCATATCTTGCCTTTCTGCCGCCACGTCTGCCCCCGCGGCCAACTGGGAAGTGCATGTGCTGTGCCCAGATAACTCTTCCCCCCCACACACACACCTCCCCTCTCTCCCTTCTTTCTCACCTTGTCTCATTATTGATGACTCCATTGGATGGTGTGAGACTCGCCTTCACTGTCATCATGTTTTGATACCAGGAAAGCTCAGTCACCCAACTGGAACACAGATCCTGCTGACAGGTTCAGTACAGGTACTCAACCAAGGTGAAACGCAGGAGCTGAAGAGATTTAACTTTAGTTGGAACACTTCAGCGTCAGACTTTTTGTGTTCAACTTTCTAAGACCCAATTTATTTTTTGCTTTTAAGGAAGACTTGATTGAGATTATATTTAAATGCCAATCGCCAAAAAAGGATTTCACACCGTCAAGAGGCAAATGAAGATGTCAGAACCCTATCCTGAAGGACTCTTCTGTAATTCACACATTATGTGTACACAGTCTTAATGATGTTAAGTCTTTTGGAACCTCCAAATGATTCAAATCCTGAAAGGAAAACACTTCTTCATAATGTCACTGATCCTGAAAGCCACTGCTTATAAAGTTGTCTCTGAGCTTTTATTCTTGTTTGATGACCATTTCTTTCAAATGTAAACATCTACATAAGGAGCACATTGATGCATACATTCCAAAAGTAGTTCACTGTTTTATTGGGAATCTAAATGTGAAGCAAAAGTTCAACATTTTCTAAAACACATTCACAGCATTCTTGCTGAAATGTAGATGAGAAGACTGTTACCACTGTCATGTTTGTTTGTTTATTATGAAGAGAGGCCAGTAAGCTTAGCTTAGCACTTAAGAGTTAACATTTTGAATGAGCAGGCTAAGCTCAAACAGCTTTAAGCACCTTGAGAGCTCACAATGTAACATTTAACTTTGTGTTTTTTCAGACCTAGCTATGTTAAAGCTCCTATAATGAGTTCAGAGCTGGTTATTAAACAAGCTGAAATTAATACTTAAGCCTCCATATGAGCTAAAATAGCAAAGTAGCTCATTAGATGCTATTGGCTATTTTTCTACAGTGATGAATAACGCCTGAAACCATTGATGTGGGGTAGGTGTCAGAACAAGTGATTTACAGTGTGCTCCATAAAAAGCCTTGTTTAACATTTTTTGACTAAAGAAAGCAGGATGAGATTTCTTATTGGAAAAACCCCCCACTATATTAGTGATAAGACATACATCTTTGTCCACAGGGGGGCGCCAAAATCAACCAAAACATAATTTTAAAAAAAATCCTCACAGGAGCTTTAAAGGTATAGTGTGCAACATTTTAATATATCAGATATCAAATATATCCTCACTAAATATATTGGTCAGTAATGACTGATGAAAAAACGAGCAAAGTCAAACTCCCTCTGATTTGTTGTTCTTAACTCTGTATTCATACTGACTGGACAGCGCCTCCTTCAGCTTGTTAAGGGATGCTGTATGTTGATTCACAGTGGTAGATTTTTAGAGTACAATTTTCCAAACCAAAGAAAACATTTAGTTTGATTTACTTAAAATAAATAAGAACAGAATCATCTTTGGGCTCAGAGTGGAGATCAGTTCTACAAAACGCTGAACTCGGTCAGAACAAGTGGGGTAGAATGGGAAAGGGTGCGCTAAGAGACAGTGGAGGACTTTGAATGTCGAGGACACTAAGATGTCTCGAGCCTTAGCTGCAGCTTGTTTACTGAAGTTGAGAGTTGCTGGTCGCTACTAGAGCAGAGCCCTAATATAGAGACCCTAATTAAGAGCAGCATCATTCTTCTCAACACATTTTAGTCAAATAAACTGATTTACCAAAGACATCAATTAAAGTCAGTACCGACCACACTGACATCATGTATCATCAGAGAAATGAGGAGCAAATGCTTGGATTATGTTACACCATGTTTGCGATGGCACCAAAGCAAAAACAAGATGCCTGGTTTCAAGGTTCGGCTTCAGACGTGTGAAGTGACCAAAGAGGAATATTTGCACAAAAGGTAGGAAGCCAAACAAGTACTAAAAGTAGGCGCATGTGTCGTTGGTTAGCTTGTGTATCTGGAGGTGAAAGTTTATACTTCAAATATTCTCTTTAATATTTGGACCACTCACTGTGGAAACAGGAGAGCTCTTTTACATTCTGCAGATTTTGTGTTTACCTCAACTCTTTTTGGTTTCAGAATGAATGATTCAAGTGTGATGTAAGAGCTGCTAACTGCAGAGCAAGGTAGCACAAGGGCGTTAAGTGATGCTGTTTTCCTTCAAACGTTAACATCCCGCCAAGCATGTGTGTGACATCAATATTTAATAATGCCCGCTCTTTGAATTGTACTTGATAGGATATTCTTCCCTCTTCAGAAAAATCTTTTCATTGCACTAACAAAGGCTTTTCAGTTGCATCACAAATCACATCTGTGTCTGTCAGGGTGCTGGAGGTGCAGTGGAGAACTTCCAGAGCTCAAATAATGGCTTAACAAACAGAACAGAGAGAGAGAGAGAGAGAGAGAGAGAGACGTATGAAAGCAGGGCTGATATGAGAACATGTCAGCTCATCCACATAGCATGTTTCCTTTCTAACTTTCCTGAAATGGGAAACAATCCGCGGTCGCTCTCATCAAATTTTCATAAAGTGAGCTGCTATTTGCCGAATGAGATCATTTCTCTCTTGTTTAAATCGGCCACATTTCACGAGTTAAAACAAACACTCACTTCCGAATTAATCTCCCATCTGCATGGCACAAGTCATCTGCAGTGTGCTGCTTGCAAATCACTTTGGTGAAACAGGTCCCTTGTTTTGAGCCATTTCTTTTCTTTGCCATGTTCTGCACAAACCAGCATATTATTAAAAGCTTTACAAGAAGATATATTTCTATTCTAAGAGAAAATGTAGAGATAAAAAGTCACTGCAGATATCTGGAAGTTATTTTTCTCAGTGTGCTTGCAGGGATCTTTGTGATGTGTATTGCATGCATTGTTTGGACAGAAAAACTCACTTATCTCTCAAATAAATAAAGAATAATGGCTGTGAAGTTGAATCCTCTATGATAGTGATCTATGCTGTGTGGACATCAAATTTCACACCCTTACTGGATTTTGATGTAAGTGGATCAGAGAGTTAATTGTTACTTACAAGCTAAAATGTTGCTTTGATTAGACTTTAAAAATTGGAGCGGCCTAATGTAATAATGCCATATTCATCCATTATTGAACTTGCAAGTATTTCTTTTTAGCGTACCAAAGCGTATTAGTGGGCATACACAAAAGTATGAAGTATTAAGTGCACTGTTTTCTCTCTCATTCTGCGTGCGACTGAGCAAGACGAGTGAGAACAGAAACTTGTGGAAGGACGTATTTCAGAAAGCAAGCCAACACGTGTGGCTTTACAAACACAGTCCCTTGCTTGCGGTACCCCAAACTTCGCTATCCCGTGATGGACCTCATATAGCATTATAGCCTTTGGCCAGGACCCCCCTTTCTGAGGTAGGTCTGCTTGAATTTCTGTAATTCCTTGTTCATAACGGAAGCAAATATAAAAAATGAAACGTAGCATTGCTTAACAGGTAGGTAGCTTTTCAGAGGTACAGCAACTTTCTGATAGCCTGTGTCAGTGTCACTCATAGCTGCTGCTTGATTCTAATTGGCTAGAGTGATGGGGGTTGTTTCTTTGAAATTCAAATATTGGTATTGAAAAGGAACAGAAAATGTTGCGGTGATAAATAACATCTAAAAGTAAATACATTATAAAAGAAAATGTTATTTGTTGATTTCTATTTTTGTTCAATTTCCCCCCTCCTCCCTTCAAGCTCCCATGACCCCCCATAGCTTCCGTAGGGGAGCTGCAATTTGAAAAACACTGGCCTATACGATGAATAAAGCTTTATAAAAATGACATCAGAATCAAACATTTTATTGGCTGTAATAAATTCTTCGTCCGCATACTTAAATACGCTGAGGCAAACCAGTATAAAAAGACACTCCTGGGAGAGACTGTCATCACTGCACCCATACAGCAGTATTTATGTATGTTCATTTTACGTTCCACTCTTTTGATTTTGTACAGTACATGCACCTCCCTTGAGCTCTTCAATCAATTCAATCATAAAATTCAAGTTATGCTTTGTGTCAAACCTGTTTTTGAATCGTAACGTGTCGCAAGTAGCCCCATTAACGTCTTTGTGGTGACAGATTAACAGGAGCGACTATTTATTCAACGTGTTAAAGACCTCTGAAACTGTTGCAGCTGGTAACAGTCAAAAGATCTCAACTACAGGAATATTCACACTGGGGTTATCACATATTTCTCCTGCAGTGTTGTCATGCTCTTAATGTGATGTCTCCACGACTGTGCGGCTTAGCAGTTGATCTGCTCTCTCTGCTGTTTTATACACCAATATTATTCTTGTTACCCTTTTGCATCTTGGAATATAACACTCGACAGAAGTCCACTGAATGCATTTTTACATGAGCGTCTCAGAAATATCAGTATTCTTGTAATGTAAACACTCCCTCAGGCTTACGCCCCCCCCCCCCCTCCCCGCTCTGTAGCTTCTCTAACGACCAAACTGAGCAGGGCTCTGCTGCACTAACAGCACCCCTCCCTCACAAAGAGGCAGAAAGAACGGCTCCCCTAATACTCTTCCTCTCCTTAATCTGCCTGTTCCTGTCTTAGCCAAAGACATGAAAGGCAGCGACAGAGATGTTGGGCTGCAGCCAGAGAGAGAGAGAGAGAGAGAGGGGGAACGGGTGTACAAGGTTGCATGGAGTAGATAAAATACATGGAGAAAAAGGGTTGTGTGTGTGCATCTGAGATAGAGAGAGAGAGAGACAATAGGCAGCAGAAAGAGAGAGAGTGAAGTCATGCATCATCTTCATCTGTCTGAATGATCTCCTTAACCCTCGGTCTTTGCCAGTCAGCCCCTCTGGAGCTCTATATGGGGTTAAAAAGGGATTTAACAAAAGCTGAAGCTGCTCGCAAATACGGTGAGCTCTCCGCTTCCCTCTCCTAAAGACTTTATCTGTAAGATTTATATTCAACTGCTGACTTGTGACCAACAACCTCTCCCCTCAAAAATCATAAAAACTTCAGCCGAAGAGTTCCTCTGTATTCAGAAAAGGTTTAAAAAGACGCCTTGCGACGGAAAAGAAAAATGTAAAAAACGAAACAGAGATTACCACACATCAGATCTTATTTATGTCTAATCTATGACAAAGATGAGCACTATTTTAGACCTTTTTGGTCTATTTTCTCATTTGTTTCAGAGACGATCCTGAGACATAAAGGTGGTTCGTCTCACAGTGAGCCCTGTGTGAGCCCAGCATGAGATCCGGTATATTTCTTACAGATGTGGAGAATAAGGAGACTACAGCAAGCTCTCACACAAAATAAAAGTTCAGTCTACAGTCCTTGATCCTTGATTTGTCTAACAGATATCTCAGACAAACACGAGACGAGTCCATGTTCTTTAAATTGTCTTGGCTGTCTCGTTCAGAGATGTGAGCTCAAAGAAAAATGAGACAAGTGTGAGATCTCAAATAAGCCTCATTATGATCTTAACAAGAGAAAACACCAGGGGCCTATATATCTACTGTATATACGTCTTATCATATACTGTAAATCTTAACCCCACTTTGCTATAATGCTATAAAGATGATTAATTTATGGGATGTGCTATAAATGTTTTATTCACATGGAGGAGTCTGTGCAACTCATAGAAGTGATTTCACACACAATTCATATCATTCTAAACACATCCCCATAGAGCGGAAATCTTTCTGTCAAATAGATCACTTAAACAGAAACAGTGTTTTTTTATTTACTATTTTGAGTAAAGGATCTTCCATTTTTGGACAATCATTCACAAAATCATTTTTTTTTTGCCTTGAGCTCTGCCTGAGAAAGTCATTGGATAAAACTTTCAGTGGTACTCCATGTTTGGGTTGAATTAATCGATTTGAGTTTGGAAGCTGTAGTGTAGTAATTAACATCACTGCCCTGCTATCAGAAGATTCCAGGTTCAGAGCCAGGTCAGGACACTAAGACCACCTGCAGCAGGACGAGTTAGAGCAATAGATGAGACATTGATTAGACATTGATAGGACCTCATCAGGATAAAATATTTCTTATTTGAGAGACTAAAATGAGACATAAATGAGACAGAGACAAGGTCACTTAATTATGGCTTTGATGAATTTCGCAATTCTTTCTCGTTCTCAATCTCTTTCTCGTCTGATTTTACGCTCTGAAGGGTT